CGTGACCCTACCTCCAGAACCGGATTAGTATCATAGAATCATAATAAAAGCGAATTTCATCGTTGGAAATTAGCACAAAGACTCGTGGAATGATTTTTGAAGACATGGAATTTCAAGTCCGAAACAAATGGACAAACCTCAGTAGAGAGTATAAAAAGAATAACCTAGTTATTATTAAGGAAAACTACTTAGCTTTAACGAGGTGGAAAATGGCTCGAGTACATGAAAACTACATCCAGGAGGTGACGGTGTGTTGGGTTAGTTAATTATTGTTATAAGGTGACTGGGAACCTCAGACCATGGGAATTTATAATAGCTTACCTCATTTATCAGTCAGTATATTATTATTATAAGTATTCGTTTACTTCTAGAAAAATTTGCTGTTTAAGGCGCCGAAAAAATAAAAAAAGTTTTAACATAATATAATATGAAAAACAACCATGTGTGTTTAACAAAAAAAGCTTGCTTCTAAATTCAAAAACAACTCGATGAAATTGTACACAAGTACGTTTGTGCATTCAGCCAGCTGAAGATTACTTTTCACATGTAAAGTGCCGTTCGCCGATAGCTTGAAAAATACGCACATAAACTTATAATACAAAATCGTTCTCCAGGAAAAAGTTCATTCGTTTTTCCAATAGTTATGAATTGCTTTTGGCCGTTGATTTTCATGTGGATTGGTTGGTGGCATTTCACATTGGCCGAAAATGACACGCGAGAGGTATGTGACCTTATAAACAATAAATATTGGATAAAATACATGCATGAGATAGCGTATGGCAAAGAACTATCCGAGTACATTAAACCCGGCATAGAGGCTTGCAAAGATAGGCCTAGTTTGGACAGTTATCATTTGCAATGTTCACTAATAGCTATACAAAGATTTCTAAGTTGCCAGCTCGCCGGTAATTTACTGGAGTTTCTGGTGATGTTGGATACATTGGCCGCGGAAGTGTCAGATCGGTTAAAAAACGATCAGAACGACATTGGCTTCGTTCAACAGACTTCTGATTTTTGGAAATTATGGCAGTTAAATGCGTCTCCATTGCTAGTCGAGATGAGGCCGATAATAGCTATGTGGACCGGTACGTTTCGTAGGCTGCTGTACCTGTTGCTCAAAGCAGTATCAAAAGTATATCCAGACTTCAGGGACTTGTTGAATACTGTAGAATCGTTTAACTTGTATTTGAACGGTACAGCACTACAGCCCACGAAACCGCCCACAACCGACCACGAGGCCTACACGAGGATCTCACTTGTACACGCTTTTTTACAACACACGTTGTACAGATACTACAAGAAGAGCGAATGTAAACAAGCAGAGTGGATGGAATCGACGAGAACGACCATCAGGCCAAGGATGAAGTCGGTAATTCGAACGCTTAAAAATATTGTCTTAGCAATAAATCTAGCCCGCCATAAAAAGAATCATCCCCAACAGGCATACCCGCCAGAAGCAGTGGTGGTCGAATTCAACAAACATCCCAATGGCTTTGTCAAACCCGGCACGGTTGTCAAGTGGTTGTGGAACGGAGTCAAAACGGACGTGTACCAAGTGTACAAAGAGATTCAGAAGGATTATCGCGACGACACTGGCCGATTGTACTACACGTTGAGCGTTAAGACCGTCGCGGTTACGTTTTTCACTTATTTGTCTCGGTACTTGCAGATTTATATGCAATACGTCATGGCCAAGGGCGGCGAACGTTTCGCAAAGAAAGCCAAAAGAGACCCGGCTCCTTTGCTGTGTATCCGAGTGGTGATCGCCAAAATGGAAAATTTCTTGAAGAACCATTCTTTCGATTGCATTCACAACATGTACCAACGTATTGAAAATCCCTCGAAGGACGTCGGTACCCTGTCGGTATACGATCTGCAGCTTATGGTGAACAATTATTTGACAACGGTAAATCATATTCTAGAAGTCAACATCAACCCAACACCGGTCAGCAAAGATAACGCGGGTTTGGTGTTGGACGAGTTGCTGGACGACATGTTATACCGTGCAAGTGTTATTGAGGAACACCACGCGGTATTCACGCCGAATGTTCGAAATCGTGAAGTCGTAAAAAACAGTCTACTTGTTTTGTTTCTGATTTCCAGAGTTACTATGATAGCACTAAGCCAACATTAATGCAGGCGAATTTTAATTTCGGAGGTTTATATAAATATAACTGAAAAAATGAGTCATTAAATGGATTTAAACTTTAACGATGTATTTTTTTTCATTCTTTTATTTGAGGCGCTCAGATGCCAAACCGATTAACTCCATAAAATACAAATTTTCAGGACAGGCAATTAAAGTTATTTGAAAAAATGTATTTAAGTACAATTGCCAATTTTCTTAGCGAACTTTAGTGGTGAAAAATTCTACTATGGAGTTATTTATCTTGACCACTGAAAATTATACACTTTTTTAATCCAACCATGCTGTTATCCGCAATCTGAAAAAAAAATGGAGTTAATCGGATTGGCATCTGAGCGCCTTATTTAATGAACTCCAGAATCCGACGCTACGGATTGAGGAATTTTCCTAATTCATTTCAGGTTTACTTATTTTTTTTGTCATTTTATTATGAATTTCGTGATACACGAATTTTATTCAAAAGTACATGTGGTTCAGCGACAATATTATAAAACATGATGCTATAGGTCATAAGAGTTGTTTTTTTCTAGTGAACATGTGCAAACAACGTGCAACTTATATTTTATACACCATACGAAAGTTATAGCACACATATTTTTGTTTTTCTCAAAGAATTTGTAAGCGTACATACCTAACAACCTACGGTGGTATACATATTATTTTTTTCGCAAAAAACCTTATACATAATATTATAAAAAAAAATACAATTCGTGTAGTGTAGGTATTAATAATTTATAGCACTGTCGCTACTGGTGATTCACGAAATTTAACAATTTTTACCCTACCTAGATGTAAATTATTTATAATGTCAAGCACCGGATACGATAAGAAAAAGAATCAGATTTAGAAATATTTTATAATAATACAAAACGACTTATTAAACTAAAAAGTAACTTTGTATAGAATTTGGTTCTAACTATATTAGTTAGAAGGCAAGGAAGTGATATAAAAGAAACTTTTAAGGACTCATAATAAATAACATACTTCAGAGACTTTTTATTACATTTATTTAATCAATGAAGTCATTAAATCCAAAAATTATTTTTTATAATACCTCATAAAACATTAACATTCCATAATTTAATGAGTTTTATTGAAATACAAACTGTTTACTATTATGTTACAAGCTCAATACCATTTATAAGTAGAATAACACATTTTTAATTGATACTAAAATAAAAAACCTTGACACATCAATTTATAATATCTACATTTCTGTATGATTCAACGAGCTGCTTGTTATCTAGGAGTAATGCCATTTCAGTGTAAGTGACCGCGGATGTAATTGGTGTAAGTGTCTAATATCAGCATATCAATCTTTTATTGCCACTATATCGAATAATCGGTAATATGGTTTACATGCAAACTCCAAAAAAATTCCTAAGGAATCAGCAGCTCTATCTAATATGATCCCCTCAACATCTCATAGAGTTTAATTAATAGTTAGAAATTGAATTCACTATTTTTATAGTGTATTTAATTTTTATACGATATGATCTTAATTACTTACAAACTATTTTACATTACTCACAACTTTCAATTCTATATCGACTTTTGAAACGTAAATGGTAACATATATATGTATATTCCGTTAACTTTTTAAATTAAAAATAATCTACTAAAAAATTAACTGTTCAATGACTAGTTTGGGATAATATTTTTTTAAAGTTTAAAACTTCAAGACTATCAAAGAGACTCTGGCAAAGAGTCGGTAGGTCGGGTGAAAAATGTAAAATTACACAAAATACTTAAAGTGTAATGTTTTGAAAATAACTCAAATATTTTGCGATGAAGTGTATTATTTAAATATTTTATTACTTACTTATTTAAATTTATAATACTTATAATTTAGACAATTATTACTATTCAACCATTCAACGCCAGGAATCACAGGCCGCACAACAATAACCTTAACTTAAGATTCACTAAGACAACGTCTCGACATCATTGTCAATATTTTTAATTTAGCTACATCTTGTATTAATAGCCATATTATGCGAGTGACGGATTTTGTGAAAAATTGAATTTTTTTACCTACAACCACCTAGTGGTTAAAAACATTTTACATAACTTGTTTATTACTTTTCAACAATAACATAAATAATAATGTAGTTTACAGAGTCTTATGTATTTTATCTATATCTTTATCAACGTTTTCTTTATTTGCTTTTTAAACCATCGCTTTAATCGTCACATTCGTCATTACTTTTGTTAAAATAAGATACAAGGCGTATTAAATAAGGCGTATCCCGCTCATATTCGGTATAACCTTATGTAATAAATCAAATATCGAGTTGGATGATTGTAAAATGATTCCGTATAAATGCAGTTCAGTTGTCTAGCGATTTGCTATCTGCCGAAGAATACCGATCAAGTGTGATTTGTTGTCAGAGACGTCTATAGTCTAGCCTTTATAATACAGGGTGTTTCAAAAATAATGATAGGGATAAGAATGGTGGGGTTTTAAACGGCTGTAGGTTGTGAAGTATTGGATCTACAGCGCTCTGGTAGGGCTTGAATGAAAGAAGGAGCGGTCAAGTTTCGAATGACTGCCACTACATATCTCTCCGCGTTTCCGTTTGTGTCGCCAGCCTTCATTGTTCAGTTTCTTAAGATGGCGTCCGCACAACAGAAGTGATCGAGTTCGCGAAGCGTAATTCAGACTGTAAAACATCTAGTGGCAGTCATTCGAAACTTGACAACTCCCTCTTTCATCCAAGCCCTACCAGAGCGCTGTAGGTCCAATGCTTCACAAGTCACAACCTACAGCCGTTTGTAACCCCACCATTATTTTTGAGACACCCTGTATATGAATCCGAATGAGGGTGGAAAAATGTTTAACAAAAACGCATGATAGTTTCGAGGGCTTTATTAAATTAGTGTGGTAGTTATTACATTAAAAGCGTGACACGCCGTACGTGTATTCTTATTAAAAATAGGTATATCTTGGTTGAAAAGTTATATTGTTTGGCTTTCAATATTTATACTGAACGCTGTATGGTGGTATGCGGCGTTCAAGCCATTGTCAAGGCGCCGGCGCCTATTCCGAAACCGCATCCTTTGGGCCCAAAGTGTTTGCCGTAGCACGGCCTGCAGTAGATGTCCTCGTCCGGTCCGTCGGTCAAGTTAGTCGAGTCCAGCGACTTACTGCAATTGCCGCAAGTGAAACACCTCCTGTGCCAGACCTTGTTTTTGCTGATCATTTGCTCGGCAGCGTAGACTTCGTATCCGCACCTCGGGCATCCCTTGCCGTTTCTGCTCTTCGTTCCAGACGTTGGCCTGGACTCTGGGCTGCAATGGCGAAAAATCAAACTATTATTGGTGATTCATATTGTGTGCTTACAGTAAGTGTCCACATGGATATGTCTTTTGGCTAGGGGTCAATAAGAAAATCTGTGCGTGCATCACGCTGAACGTTGCCGTAGAAAACGTGTGCGTGTGTTGCGAACTAGCGGTTGTTTTTTAAATGAAAGAGCAGATAAATAATTTTCAGATAAGAGATAAGAAGGTACTCCTAATTAGGATCTAAGGATAATCGAATTAATTTGTTAGGTAGGCACTTACTTACTGGCAAACCACCAGACACTTGAAACGTTTAGACGCTTGGAAATTGATATATGACAAATTTTAAATATTGATAAATGTTACCAGTAAATCGATTTAAGCCAGATATTATAAAAACTACCAAAAACCGTTTGGCCAGAACATGATATAATTGACACTATACTATCATCATAGATCGCAAGGATATTATTGATCGGAAATAATCATCTCAGGACATATCCATGTATTGATGTATCTGCATAAAGTGTGGATACTCTTAATTTTATTATTATAGTCGTATATCATATAGTTACAATAAAATTGTATTTTCTCCTTTGGTGGAAATCAAAGTTGGCGAATGTCCGTAACCGAAACCTTTTGGTCCAAAGTATCTACCGTAACATGCCCGGCAGTAAATTTCCTTATCGGGACCGTCGCAAGCCAACGTAGAATCCAACGGTCGGTGACAAGCGGCACAGCTAAAGCAGATCTTATGCCACATCTGTACAACAAACATAGTTACTATTATCAGGTGTATATATATCTTATATAAGTTGTGTAAGAATATAATTTTAAGACGAATAAGAAGATGGCGGCTTCCATCCGAATAGCATTGTTTACATCTGTGATAGCCTAACTCCACAGAACAAAATCTTAAATTTAATCTCGATCAACGATTGCGACACTTGTTGATCGAGACTTGTCATATATTTGAACGAGTGAGACATTCAGTTCAAATCCAATTCTCGGTAGAATAACAATGGCACTTACAGCTCCTTTAGCTAGTTGTTGTTCAGCAGCAAACACTTTTCCACCACATCTCGGACAGCCTTCTCCTTCAGCCGCTTTGATGGACGTAGTGTTCGAATTGTAAAACGGTCGTGAAGCTGATAACTGATCTTCCCTGCAAATATATTTATTGGTTAAACATCCGACAAATCATATTCGCATATCACAGGCGCGAATCCAGAGTGCTCAGCTCAGCACTGCTAGTAATCGAGCTCCTACTCTTAGGTTAAATGTGAATTTGCGCCTATGTCAAATTAAACATAATATATATTATATATACTAACGTCACGCCGTCGGTCTGGAGGAATCCAGATCCACAAGCGAATCCGTAACCATGAGGACCCCATTTTTTACCGTAACATGTTTTGCAGTAAATGTCATGATCTGGACCGTCGCAAGCAATTATCGAATCCAAAGTTTTATTACAATCGTTGCATTTGAAACATTTTCTATGCCATTCCTGTGAACATGGAAATTTACACTTTAGCTCATATTATATGACTAGCCGTTTTTGAAACTGTCTTTCTAGGGAAACAGGTCGAGTACAAGTAGTAGTGCCTGCTTTGTCATATTGTGCTCACGTCTAGCTCAATCGTTAAAATGCAAACTATCATCATCTAACCAAATGCCATAGAATTATCAAATAAATATTGTTATATTACATCCATGACCAAATAAACAGGCATGATTGCCAGATTATGAAATTGTACTGTCTTTGCGCATTTGCCCAGTCATGGAAGATTTTATAACTTGTAATCAGATATTAACATACAGTAAAAATACTTCTTTTTCTAAGTCTGAGGTAATTTTCCTGTAAGATATTATCTAGTTAAAGGTTCCATACCTGCTAGATTAGTCATGGCTATGCCTACTATCTTGTGTTTCGTTATAAGATCCATAAAAATCGCTAAATACTCACGCTTCCTTTGGCCAAGACTTGTTCGGCAGCAAAGACCACACCACCGCAACGGGGACAACCTTGGCCCGGTTTAGCTTGTATGGTAGAGGTGTCGATAACAGGAGCGCGAGATGTGTTGACATCCCTGAAATACAAAATGTTTACTGTAAATCCACCAAGTATCAAGTTCAGGTCGGCATCAAGTATGTTATGTTATATTGTTACGGCTAAACGCGATTTAAACCAACACCAGTTGACTGGTGCGAAAACGGAATGGCGTAGGCAGAGTGTATAATATGATGAACCATGCTGTGGAATAATTTGTGAATTCAGGGAAAACTTTTTGATATCGTTGAAAAAAAATACCTTTCCATATCGTCTGTTAGGTCACATGTCAAACCAATTGACTGACCACCTGCACCACTATGCCCTATACCTCTGGGTCCGTAGCGCTTCGAATAGCAAACTAGAGAACAAATATTGAAAATATAAAACCGGGTTTTAATTTGGTTTTTAACCGACTATTTATTTAATTTTTGTTACTAAATATTATTTAAAAATTAATTAAAAAACATCATGCAATTTTAAGGCCGTGGAATGCGTCATGCAGAATACAATAAATTGATGTATTGAATTTCTTAACAATAAGACATTATTACTATAAAAACGCTGCTTTCGATTTGCACTAACAAACATGTATAATTTTGAAATTTGATATTTTCTTTTTTCGCCTAATGCTTTTTAAAATGATTATGTTGTCGTCAATAGCCAAATTATTTTGAAAGTGTACTGACTTTTATTTTCTTTACCAAATTGTAATATTTGACCATACTTTATCGTGTTAGAAATTAGAGAGATTTTTACTTCGTCGGGGGTTTTATTTAACACCTTTTGAGCCTATTTTAAGTTATTATTAATATCTAAAAACTAGTTACACGTAAATGGCAAATGATACGTACCCATTGTAAGCGGGGTCGCTTTGAAGTGCTCCACCACCTTGACCGTAACCATAACCTTTCGGTCCAAACGACTTGCCATAACACGCTGATAAGATAACGAAAGGTGTTAATGCCATGCAAACTACAATCCAGTTGAATGAGTGTTAATTACCTTTGCAGTAGATGTCTTTGTCGGGAGCTTCACAACAGTTGACCGAATCCAAACGTTTCGAGCAGGTGGCACACTTGAAACACTCTCTGTGCCAAGACTAAACAACGGTGGGGAAAAAATACAAATAAATGCATTCGACAGTGTTGGTAAATGTAAGTCAGGTAAACGGTGAGTTTATTGAGGAATATGTGAAAACATGCATCATCGAATCTATGTGCGGCTAATCTTAATAAATAACCGTTCTACAAGAGTCAGTTGTTAAGGGCCTAATTATTTACCTATAATGTTTGCGCATTTACCACAAGTCAAAGCCGATTTGACCTGATAGGTACTCTGCACTTTTATAGGACTCTGATTTAAGAAAGTACTGTGCTCCTCTAAAGGTGTCCTGTATCAGCGAACCTGCGTAATCTCCGAGGACACCACTAGGATTAGTTAGTTAAATGCTGCTTGTGTAGATGTGAAATATAGTAACACTCTTGTCGTGGCCCGGTTGATTCGGAAGACCCGTTTAGGGTAGATATAGGATAATGCCGAGATGCTGGTAGGGATGGATTACACCAGACTAAAATATGAGGTCAGTGTAAGATTAAATTAAACAAATTTCCACATGCAACACATTGATTGGATACACCGCCAAAGTTCATGCACATTGATCGACCAAAATAATGTTTTATTATTCACCTCTACAATAAACTTCGCCGTCCGGCCCGTCACAGTGTATCACCGAGTTTAACGTTTTATGACATTGAAAACAGTTAAAGCATTCTTTGTGGTATCCCTATAATACCGTTTCGATCATGTATATTATCCTATACGCTACACATATATATTATATATATATATATCATCTCGATAAGAATGTATTTTATATTGTGGTTGTTTTTGTTATCATCATTGAATAATACATAAAACCTAATAAAGGTCATACTTACTCTGCCCTTTGCCAACATCTGCTCGGCCATGTACACAAATCCACCACACCTGGGACATCCTTCGCCTTCTGGTGCCCTGGCTATTGCTCGCGATTCTAAAGGCGCCTGTGGCCTGTGCATGACCGACCTATAATACACAAAAGAGTTTATTTAAACATTTATTTTATCAAAGTATGTTGTTGTTTTGTTTTTCAAGTATTTGAGTGACATTAGTAAATGAATCGACCAACACCATATTACGTTGTTGTATACACCCAAAATACACCGAAAGTCCTTAAATTTGCTATTGGGCCTCTGTAGAGGTTCATTGACGATGTCATTAGAATTTCCAGTGTTATTATTAGGGTGTATACTTTAAGAAAAAATAATAATAAAACAAATTATACTAAATATTACTAAACAGTGTACTCGTGTGAGATTAGTAATTGATTATTATTAAACAATTCGACAGAGAAAAAGATAAATCAGTGAAAACAATTTTGGTCGAAAGTAAAATGCGACCAATGTAAGAATATTTAATAAGTATTAAGTACAGAAGAAGAAAAACAAATATTGAAAACACAAAAAATCAATAACAGTACCCATTTGTCATCGTTAATGGGTATAATTCTGAAAACATTATTACAAAATATTTAACAAAATATCTTATCGTGTTAGAGCTGTATGATAACTTTCAAATCGTTAAGTTTAGATAAAACTAAAATTTTTAAAGCTGCTAGAAAATGTTTTACATTCTGCAAAAATAATTGTACAATTAGTACAATTTTATCATACACCGGGTTGCAGATTTATATTTTCTTGCAATTTATTTTTACGATTTTAAGTACCTAAACCGAAGAACTGTATTAGCAATTAAAATTATATGTAAACCCACGACACAATCTTGAAAATACAAATCGTGCAACACGGTGTTCGTATTAATTTATGATATAATTTTTGTCATCTGAGCTGTGTTGAGCAAAACAAAATCACGACTAACCAATATCCTATCATATATACAAATACACAAGTTTATATATAAACGTGTAAAAAAATATGCATATAATTAGGTATAGTTTGTTTTACCCAACACTGCGCTGAGTATATGTTTTTGTTTTTGGTAAGTCTAAAAACATGCTTGACAAGTAACAAAAAGAAAAAAATGTATAGCCTATAGTTATAATAGTAATAATGTGTTCCCAGTTCGACTAAAAATACACAATTGATTATTATAATAAAATATATTATAATAACGATAATATGATACGATAATGCAATAAGAAATAAATGATTGTATGTATATAGAATAATATAATGTAATAATTGATGGCATTCATTGCACAGGTATGATAGTGCTCATTTTTTTTTCATGAAGAAATCGAGTTATGCTATTGAAACCCAGATATTAAAACGTTATTTTTTTTATTTTTAAATATATCCGACACCTTTGCGACATGCCATCGAATTAATATTATATCTTTTACAACCGATAATGACTCCAATCCAAAAATAGTGTAGCTTTCTGAAGTAGAAAATAAACAACAAAATGAAAACAATTAATTACGGTAATTATGTACCTTCGCATAACATGCACGGTACACGAAGAAATAATATTTACAAATCATATAAGTTCACCTCTCCGTTACATTGTGTTAGTTACCGTTTGATTATTTTTTTATTTAAGAAGAAGAATAATATTAGCTGTTAAGATTGTGTAGATTATAAAAGATTTTGATTATGAAAGATGTATGTAATAAAAAAATGATTAGATGGAAATTAGTTAAGCAAAAAATTTTTTTTTAAAAAGCGAAGCGTTTAAGTATTCTAAAAAAATATGTATATTAGACAGACCTACATGAGCATATTATATTATTGTAACATAAAAATAATAATCTCACCATTTAAAGCCATATTCGGACTCTAGAAGAGAAGCTATATCACTCCGTGTGCATACATATTTATTTACTTGAATCCTTTTTATCACGTGATACCCGGTATGGCTTTTTTTATGTATATGTAAATTGGTATATTACAATTTCCATTTTTGGATAATTTTTTTTTAGTTTTTATAATATTATACACAAATAAATGTATATAGATTTTGTGATTTTTTTAATAAATTGGTACCTTAAGCGTGCTTCAGGCGTTAAGCCCGATATTAGGCGTGATTTTGGTATCTGTTTAAAAATAGCGCAAAAATATTTCTAAAAATAAATGTACTACCCACGTTTGACTATGAGTTATTAATAATAATAGTAAATTATTGTTTATTTTGTTCTGTCGAAGCAAATGCTGTTATGTAATTAAAAAAAAATTTATATAAAAAAATGTTTTTTTTTTTTTGTGAGAATTTTGTTAAAATTAGCCGAAAGCATCGCTTAAGCCGCCAAATCCGTATAAAATAAAAAATAAAACGATAATAGTTGAAAATAAAATTATTAATTTAATGATAAATTAACAAAAAAACATTTCTATACATGTTGCCTGTTTATTACTGTTCGTACGACTAAATGTGTGGTAAATACAAGCTCGTGTAATGTATATATACTTAAATAAAATTTAAAAATGTACATTTAAACGAACAGAAAATATGAGAGGTGAATTTGTATGTATAAGCAAATATTAAATAAATAAATAAATTTAAAAAAAAAAGGTTTTACTCTTGCATGCAAAAACAAACATATATAGGTTGATAGATAGGTAGGTTTATGTTCTTCGGATGGTCAGGTAATATAATTGGGTTGGTTCTTCATTATAAGCTGTTAAAATATAAAGAAAAACATATTTCATTAACTGTTTGAAACATGTTTTAAAAAAACCGGCAGACGCGTATAAGAATTAACAATGCTAATCATATTACAATCAACTTGATAATCCTTGTCTTTCTTTTTAGTAATAACCTAGACTATCGTGTACCTCCCAGCCCCCCCTCCAAAAAAATATATAAATATAAAGTCTAGTGTAATTATTTTGTTTTTTTTTTATAACAAGCCACATTCAATCTATGTATTTATTATACATATAAATGTATATATATATATATATAATAATTTATAATACATCTTTTTTTTAATGAAATCAATGTATTCGCTTTTAACTATGGATCGTGGTTAATACAACAACAATTATTAGGTATAATATCAAATAGCTGATAATGTGGACTTACACGTGAGCGAGATGGTCGCCAGTGTCTGTGCTCAGGCAACCAGCACCGCCACCGAAACCGTATCCTTTCGGTCCGTATTTCCTGCCATGGCAGTTTTTACAGTACAGCTCCTTGTCGTGTTCGGCGCAGTTGGTGGAGTCTAAGAATTTTCCGCACATTTCTTATAAAAATGTAAGAAAAAAAAAAATGTTATAACACAATTCCGTTAGTACTGCAATACACGGCGATTCGCACCATCTACAATATGGACCAGTCAACAACTTATAAGATTCTAGACTTTGCAGTGAAGGGTTAAAATATTGACTGGTCCGTGTGGTTGGTGTGAATCACCCTGTATAATATTATCACTCGTGGTATAATAATGTACACTAGACTGGACAAAAATGTTAAACATGACGTTATTATTACCACATTTGAAACACATCTTGTGCCATTTGTGTCCTCCGGCGATACGTTCTTCGGCGGCGTATACTGATTTTTCGCATTTTGGGCATTTCGGGTGTTCGGCTGGGACGAAAGGCATGATTGGATGTGTTCCGGAAGGCTATTGAACTGTTAACACAAAGCAAACGCAAACTGTTAAAAAAAATACGTTTTTTAAGGGGGGGGGGGGGGTAAAGTTAATTCGTGCAAAAAACGGTGAATTTTTATGAATTTTTTTTGACGACACAGTTCAAATCTATTTATTAAAACTAATGGTACATTAAAGTATAACATTCGAAGAATATTGGGTAATGTTTTCATGTAGAAATATTACAAAATACGGCAATGGCAGCAATTATTCGGAAGCGTCTCGGAAAAAAGTAGAATTGCGGTGTCCCTCATAACTCAATGCTGGATCATCCGAAATTAAAAAAATCAAGTTCTTTCGTTAGATAATTGCTTTCCCCGGGTAACGCCGGGAGGGTTTTTTGAAATTTCAATTTTTCACTTTTTGGGAACACTTTGAAGGGGAAAACGCGATTTTTGCGAAAAAAATCGGCTAATTTGTTATTGTAAAATAAAAAATATTAACAAATTTGAAAAAAAAATCTCCGGCGTTACCACGTAAGTTATGTACAGAAATAGTGTTCAAAATTTCAAAAGGATCGGTGTAGTAGTTTTGAAGTAAATATAATTGACTGCTAATAATTATTGAGCTACGATAGAAATCAATGATGACAAAATGTTTGGTTTAACGTTTATTGTTGTTATAGATATTTTTAATATTTAAATAATGTGTTTATTCACGAATTATCTAATAATTGATTTTTTAAAACTAACTATATTACAATAAGAATTTTATCTATTTTACATTTATTCACAATTTTTTAACAACAAGGGTTTTCAAAAATTACATTAAAAAACAATTTAATTAAATAACTATTTTTAATCTATTGACATTTTAAAGGTATACGATTAGACATTTTTTTTTTTTAATTTAAAATTTGTAACTACCATTTACTAATGAAAATACTATATTGGTAGTTAATTTTTAATTTCGCACTACTATTAGTTAGATTTTTACTATACTATCAAATCTTTTAAATAGTATATGATAATCAATTTAATCAATTTTTGTCAATCAAAAAAAATGTGTTTAAAATAATTTTAGAAAATCTGTACAAATTTTAGTCAAATAACTTAACTATACCTATTATATTATAATAAATAAAAATCTGTAAGTAGTCCCTTACTTTAATTTTTAATATTGAAAATACAATTATAAAAAGTAAAAATTATTTATCCAATTTTAGATAAATAGGTATTTAATATTGTATAATTGGTATTTTTTTTGGGGTACTGGATCAAACGTAAATTCTGCTATAATATCAAATTTAGTTCATATTTTAATCTATTAATAAATTGTACAGTGGCATTCCGATCGGGTCATTATCAGGGCGTGAAAAATCCTTTGGAGTTTTCAAATTTAGGTGTAAGATTCCAATATAAGGTCAACAAATGAGGAGTTATCCAGAAACCAATGAAACGCGAGATGTACTGAAAGAGAGACGTGTAAAGCTACACGTTCGCCAGTAAGTCTTATTTTTAGCATTTGGCGATAGTTGAAATGTTTACAACTGGCGACAAGCCATTTAAACGGTTCTGGACACGAACACTTATTATTATTAAATAATTATATACGTGACCTATATAATGACGAATTTCTTTTTTTTTTTAATTTTTATTTCTCAGATAAAAATATCCTAAGCCCATTATGCCGCACTTTTTTATTGGCAGTCTGAAAAATTATAACACAACCGAACGCGCGCCATAACGCCCAAGTCGATAATGTCTGAACAAAATGTATATATATATATAAAAAAAAAAAAAAATACTTAAAATTATAACAACAACAATATTAACATTGTCATAATAAAGCGTGGTGCAATTAATTTTTTTTTTCTACACATAAATAAACCATGACAGCAATAATAAATGAGTACGTCACCGAAACGGAACGATGTTGACAACTCATTCGGAAACGATTTGTTTTTTTGTTCATTTTACCTCAAGCTACAAAGGTTAGTGACTAACGTGACTCATAAAAACTATAATATAGTGTAAACGTTTCATTCCATTAAGGATAGACCTTGTCCTCGGCCAATAATGGCTGCAACGCATGAATTCGCATTCCTTATAAGGACCCAAATGAAAGAAGTGTGTTATGACCTCCGCAAGTGTACAAATCAAAACAAATTCCATTTTTTTTTTAAGTTAAAAAATGACTCGTGTTTCATAAGTCATGCTTGTATTATAAAAAAAAAAATTTTACTACCACACACAAAAAAAAAATTCCACCCGTCTTGTATTATCGTAGTGGGTAAAACGATTTGCAAATGTATTTTTCATTTTACTATTATGATATTATGTGATTTATATTGATTTAAGTACTTACTAGATCGGTACTAGAATTGCATGTAATAAATTTAATTCGATATTAAAACACAAAATATTGTCGTTATTATTGTTATTAGCTAAGAATGTAATAGAATAACTCTAAAATATCGATATCGCTTAGAAAATGCATTTGAAACATCCTAACTGTCAAGAGGTCGCGTTAGACTTCTTGGCTAATTCCATATTAAATATTATTAAGTATCCAATATAAAATTTAACCTTAAAAGAAATCCAGTGAAGAAAAAAAACGTTTAACCTAGGTGTTCTTCTTAAACAACAACACTGTTTTAGGAAAAGAGTTATTTAAAAAAAAAAAAAATGTTTTATCCAAATGTGTAATAGTTAAAAATTACAAAAAAAAAACACTTTAATATATATTATGTTATCGTCGAGGTATAATAATAATAATAATAACGTAACTGGTTGTATAACATACAACTTAAATGAAATTGATTATCGATAGCGCGTTGTATAGTTTTGTATTGGTATTTATGTTATTTGACTGGTTCTGGGAAAAATAAAAAATGTTATTTCTGTCTTACCTTTAGAAGTCGAAGGAGTGTGATCTGGCGTGTTCGGCTTCGCTTTTGTAAATGTTCTCGAATTATACTCAAAGTGTAGTAGTGCTTTTATCCCTACTACAGTATTGCACACGGCACATTTGCTCCGCCTCCTTTTGCTACTCCTACGCAAATTTAATCTCCCCTTGATCTACAATAGCACAGTTTCAGGATAAAATATATACATACAACCATATACATTTATATGAAAAACAAAAAATGACCATATGTTTTCACTTGTACTCGAATAGTTTTGCCAATGTCAACAAAAAGAAAACACGGCTCATTGTTATTAATATTGTACGCTTACAGAAAATATTATTATATATATAAATCCGTTAGAGAAAAAAAATGAAATCGTTTAACTCGGTTCGGCTAAGATGAATTATTATCATGTTATATTTTATTTTAGAACTTTCTAGACTAAAATTCAAAAGCTATTACCGTCGCCCACCCGCACCCGACACACACACACGCATATCTTGTGTTTTGGTTTAAATTTAGAACGGATTATGTAATGGTGTTTTACGCCAGACGATTATTATTAGTGCTCGATTTTTGTACTTAGCCATTATTTGGATTTCGATAAAATATTTACCACTGACGCCATTTTTTTATTTAGGTACATTCCGTACATCAACTTCGGGTTTTCAAAAGAATACATTTCCAATTTGTATATCATGTTTGAAACTGCGGTCGTGTAGTCAAATAATAATATTAACCGGTTAACTGTTAATTGTAAGACTATACTGTACTATAAATAGTACAGCATAATATCTTTACACGAGCATTGCATAAATCTAAAATAATGTTTTCAACAGCTGTCGCTATCAACTGTTACTTGTAACCCAATATTGTATTGAAGTGCAATTGGCAACACTGATGAAATTTACCTTATAAGTGGTATGGCAGCCGTGTAACATTTTCCTGGCATTTTACAAATTCTAAAGATGTTTATTCTTATTTTCACTCTACGATAACGGCAATTAACCTTAGGTTAAATGCAATTTTATGAAAACTGAAAACATCTCCAGCAGCACAATATTGAGAAAGGCAAATGTGTCAATTACATTAGGCAATTTCAAAATTTTAAAGGAATTGTTATTTTTATTCCTACTACCTGACTTAAATTCATAGACTAGGAAAGGGGGCGGGCATATCTAAGGAGGGTAGCTAGTCCCCTAAATTATTCGGAGGTAAATAAATGGTACTTAAATGACGTACCTATTTCCTTAAAAAAGTTAAATTTAAAAAAAATGAATATTTATCTTAAAAGAAAAACGTATTTTACTTTTGTTTATCATCAGTTATGTCTTATTCATTTTAAATTTATGACATAACCCTAGGCAGTCTTTTTCCACGCTATATGTAAAGACTTTTTTCTGATTAAAACACCAAATAAAATCTGAATTTGTCCGTTTTAAAAATTTACTTATTTGAATATTTTTTGTAGCTGACATGTTCAGCTACAAAAAATACAGTTTTTCTAAAATATGTTGCTGTAAAAAAGAACAAAATATAATCCTTTATGGGTCGTTCTCACCAGTTTGGCTTGACATTAATTGGGTAAAGCTTTGTCTATTTGTTTAATGATATGCTTAACTATACTTAATTTTAAAGCTAAACAGGTATGACGGATTGTACGTTATATTTTAGCATTTTAGGTATTCAAAATTTGTAAATTACTAAAAATATTAACGGATTTAGCATAATTTTCAAAATATTATTGAAACAAGTGACAACTATTATTTTTTTTAGATAAATAATGATATGTTCAAATTACATTTTTATTTCACATTTTCAAAAAAAAATGTTATTTTAAATAATTTTCTAAGTATAAATTTGTTTTGATATATTATTTAAAAACATTATATTTTCTATAAAAAATACAATTTTAATTGTACGTCAAGTTTTTATTTAAATTGTTTTTTCAATAAAAAATTGTAAGTATTTTTATTTAACCCTTTATAGGGCAGAGGGAAATTATTTCCCTCTGCCCTATAAAGGGTTAACACAAATGCATTTGAATAATGTCGTGTTCTCAGTCTGGTTGGCATAGGCCATATGTACATGATATTTATACATTAATATATATTATAAAACTTGAGCATTATTTAATTACAATATAATATTTATTTATTTACTTTAAAAATGTTGAACAACATTTGAACTTTTGTATATTTTACATTCATTACAGCTGGATATTCTGTGGAGTTTTTTTTTTTTAATATTGAAATAATAAATTAATTAAATAAAAGTTTTTTTGTACATTTTTATTGAAAAATACTTAGATACATAATTCAAAATGTTCAGGTTTGATTCATGTATATTAGTTATATTACATAGAGTTAGGCGAGTCAATTGCAAGCAAATGTGAGGATAATGTAAATTTTTTTATTAATTTGCATACATTTTATTCTATTCGGTCACAGAATTGTCCGACTCGACCCAAATTCGTACAATATATATTATTCGAGTTGATTTCGCAGAGAAGCTATATTGAAAAATAACGAATCAACATACAGGGCGTTGACGTATTGGCGATGAAAAATCACCTGAACAGATTTATTTTGATTTTCGAAATTCTTGGCAAATACGTTGAGTGTATGGTAAAAAAATAAAAATTTCTAGTCTATTTTGGTCCGATGATACCTTATTTTTTTCGCGTGGGTGGCCCAAGGACCTGTGGAGGGGTTGGATGGACGGTTAGGATAAGAAGAGTTTATATAGATAGTTCGTTATATTATATGCCAAAATTAAAACGCGGCCTCCTTATGTAAACGACAGAAATAGGCCACGTTTCCAACCTGGCCAAAAACCATGCAATGCGACGAATGAGTTCAATAAGATAATACCTCTCCCCTCTAACTTACACTCACTATTTTCCACGCGAGTCTTCTGTCTATTTTGGGTTGCAATACCATAACAGTGGTTTTCTGTCATTTTTTACTACCGTCTGAATAGTATACGTCTTGCTTTGTTGACTTCTATATTTTACTGTTATTGACATTATAATATATAAATAGAGCCGGAAGGGTTTAACGAGAGTATGAACATTTAGGCGATTTGTTTGACATAGAATGCATGTTTATTTTGCATATTGAAGTGTAAGATAAGATCATGTTTAAAACGTGTTGCATTTTTTTATAACATATCACTAAAATAGTATAAAAAAAGCCACATTTCCCGGTTTTTCTTTGTATTTGTGTTATATTAATATGTTATTGATAATGTGTTTTCTTACACATCGGAAGAGCACAATTCTTATCTTCTTTATAGCCATTTAAAAAAAACAACTTTGTTATAATATTCTTCATAATGGTTAGATTAATTTTAATTTACATGATTTTTAATTAGTATTTAATGAAAAAACTGAATAAGTGAATAAATCTTGTTGTTGTTCCGAGTTGACTTTCGATAGTACACTTAAAGCCAAATATTGTACATAAAAACTAAATAATAATTGCAACAGATGATTTGAATTTACTGAAACATATTACTTAGAATTATGTTTTAATGAGAACATTTTGGCTCAAGTATCAAATACAGTGTGATCCATTTAATGTAAAACACTCATTTTGCTCTTAAAATAATAGAAATTTTGTAGTTTTTCTTTTTGGACAAATTAAAATTTGTGTTATTTTTCAATAATTAACAATATTTAAATTTAAATTTTTTTATTTTTGTCCATAGCCCTTTCAACTTTTAAAACTTAAATAGCAACGTATGTACAATAATTTGTTGACATTTTTGACTGGTCGATAACCAGGGCAAAATAATACTACACTACACCCTTATCGTGCAGTCAATAGGTATTTTCAGGAAATTATTCTTAATTTAAAAAGTTAATTAAATAGTTAAGTTACCATTTAAGTTTCAAAAGTTGACAAAGCCATGTAAAGTATTAAAAAAGGTAGTACATGTTTAGTAAATGTATAACGTTGTAAAATAACATAAACCTAAGTGTTCACAAATAAGAAAAACTACTACATATTATCTACATTCATTTTGTATCAAACCGAAAGTCTGATACCAAATTTGTAATTTTTCGACACCAATTAACGTTCATTGATACTATTCAAGGATAACGAGCACGTTACGTTTGCCCATTATGGTTGTTCAGAACAAGTAGGTATACTAATCGAAAATGGAACACCATGTAAGTAACAGGGTTCAGTCGTGCCAAACGATCATAGTTTCCGGATGGGTGACCTATACACACTCATTTTTTAATCGTTGATCTTCATAGTTGGTTTGTATCCAAAAAAGAAAGAGCTTGGAATGATGACAATTTGAAGTAAAACTTTAGGAATTTAAAAATTAGATAACTATCTTTTTACTCGTAAATCATACATATTTAATAATATAAAAAAATATGTATACATGTATAATTCCTCTGACGTTCTGCACGGATTTAATTTTAATATGTTGAATATGTATCTTGTGTCTATTTCTATTGAATGCACACGATTTTGAATTTATCCATACAATATTTTTAGAAGACTACACATTCGATTCACCTTCAGTTTAATTACCAGACGTTGAGCTATATATATATAAAAAAAACTAAATTTGGATTTTGTACTAAAAAAAAAAAAAAATACATATCAAGCTTAGTCACATATCAGTGTAAATAATTAATATGTGTAGACGTCAGACCTTCTACATTAAAATTAACTCTGCAAATTTATTATTTAATTAACACGTCTTTATTTTTAAAAAATGTTTTTTATTGAAATACATTTATATTTACCGAAACAAATAAATTTGTAATCAAAGCCATTTTTTTATTACAAATAAAAAATGTATGTAAAATAATGTATTACTTATTTGTTTATAATTTCAAATAGTATTTTATTTGAATACTTTTGATTTTACTGTTTCACAAAACCTGTTATTTCAAATAAAAATACTATTTTTAAAATGATAAAATTTCGTATTCTTTTCAATTCTGATTGGGAACTAATCAGTGTGACCTACTCATATTGTGCTCATAAGCATTTAAACGATTATGCTCTTATGATTTTTTTTTTTTAATTTATGTTATTTTATTGAGAAATGTCGTCGAAATAGCATCGCTTACAAATTACCATAAATTCATAAGAACAAAACAAAAACCTGAACTGTTTTGGCAGACGTCAGTCGAGCACGAGTACCTATATGCTATTACGTGGATTTATTTATACACACTCACATACGGTCCTTGTAATATTATTCTTTGATAAACCAAACATCTTGATGGTATGTTATTTATCATCAGTCATGTCATATGCTTCTACTCAGCTAACGCTAGGTCTTGAAGTCATTTTAAAGCATTTCAGTGAGATTATTTTCTACCCAACCACAAACCAATGGAAAAAATGATATTATTATCGGTGCTATTACCTACACCTGATGCGGTTTGCTTACTTAATTTACCATAAGGACATTGTGTACAATTTTTAAGGCAAAACAAACACAATATAATATTATACAGTTCGCTATGACGGATATTCATAGTGAGTCACTCCTGATCAGCTGGTATATACTATGATATTATACATTATACATTGTATTTTGCTTATTATACTCATAGATGCATGGTTGCGGTTTGTGTATGTTTATTGTAATTTGTACCTATACCAGTATGACTGTAGCAACCAGTAAGCTATGGGAATTTATATGAAACTAAAACACAAGTCAACGGGTATATCTATAATTATTGGTACAGCTTGTATAGGCATAGTTTAGCAAAATTAAAAAAAAAAAACTATTAACAAATCGAATACTGAATTAGCTGAAATAAAAAAAGATAATAATCGAATAATAATTTTTTTAAGAGTTTAATCTATTATTTTGTCAATAAAATAAAACAATAAGAAAGCTCAGATAGAAAAATGTAAAATTATTATTGCTATACTCCTTTTTGGTCATAGACCTAACCTCACTTCTCTACGTGATATCTTAGTACAAAACAAAACATACGAGCACAAGAAAATAATGTCTCAACAAAACACTTGTATTCATTTACTATTTCTTCATCTGCCTCACCAACAAAGTTGGGTTTCATTCCAATCAAGTAGTATTTAAATAATAGTTTATTCATAATTCGATTTTTTTTTTTTAAGAGTAAATCATTTGTTAGAGATCAGAGTTCCTAACAAGCTAGACATTCTGCACAATGACTGACCTAACCTAACCAGATTTGGGATTTAGCGAGTGATAGATACTATGAAATCAACGAATTTTGATTCTTTTCCAAAGTCTTAGCCTTCAAATTATGTTGAAATACCATCGCAAACGAATCGTTTCGTTTAATTATTTTTTTAAATAATCCTAACCTAACCTAATCCTATTGATTGTGTGGGTTTTTCGTATAACATACTGTAACGTTGTGATTTTTAATTTTTTTTTTGTATAATTAAAAATAATAATAAATACATATTAGCCGATAAATAGTGAAGCCTGGCATAGAAATGAACACACACACACAACACTACAGATGGACGGTTGGCAAGGGCCTTGCACACGACGATTATTTTTAATCTAAGTGTGGTTTTTTATTCACTTTTCGTTTAAGATTACCAGAATGGAATAATAATAAAACACCGCCGCGTTTTTTTTTTTATACTTGCCGTCACGAAGCTCTTTTGTTCTGACTATAGGTACTGTTAAACAGAAATCGTATAAAACTTGACATCAACAATAAATAAATGATCACGACAAGTTTTAATAATAAAACAATTTTAATTTACAAACCGATATATATATATTTTATTTTATCAATAGTGTTTTTGAAATTGATAAATATTAAATACTGAATATCACTACCGTGGTCCATGTGGTCGTTAAATGTCTGATAGTACATCAGTTGTGTCTGTGTACAAGATTTTAACGCGAAGAAATGCTCAAATAGGTACCGAATGCAACTGTACCTTATTGTTAAAATGTTGAATTTTTAGTAATATTAAGTGTTTTAATCGGCAAGTCCCGGCTAAAGACGGTCGTTGCCCGTTGGATATGGATTAAAGTACAATAAATTGCTAATTGTAAAAAAAAAAAAAATGTTAAGTCATGATCATGGATGAAAAATATTGATACCCGTTAATAATTATCGACATCACAAAAATATCGAAAGTTATTTATCGATATAGAAATATCGATGTTTTTAAAAAAATATATCGATTCTATCGTTGCCTACCCTAACAGCTGTATGGCTATTGTGTCGCATCAGAGTTGGGCATTATTTAGATAGTTTTTTTATCTAAATAATTATTTAAATAATTTTTTTATTCGTATAAATGTTGTTCAAATAAAAAAAGTCCAAAAGGGCATGCGGTTGATTTTTAAGGAGTTTTGTATAGGCAATATTTAAGAAAAAAGTGGTTTTAATAAATTTCGATCATGTTAATTAATTTACCGGTTAATTTTTAAAAGCTTCAATGGATTATTTTTAATTTAAATTATTTTGTCTATGAGTAAAAACCATTTTGGTTAATATAATATACATTTTTTGTTCCATCGCACAGGCTGAACCAGTGATTCGATAAGTAATCTGAAAACAGATTTGAATTCTTTATGAAGCTTACTTATGATCGGTCAGGGTACTTTTTTGATATCTTATTCCTACTATGTATCAAAGACGTTTGAACATTATATAAAATGTCAAATTTTAAAATCAGATTTGGAAAGGGTTAAAAAAAAAAATTGAAAAAAGTACCCTGACCGATCATAAGTAAACTTCATGGCGAATTCAAATCTGGTTTTAAATTGCTTATCGGATCACTGGTTCGGTCTGTGCAATGGAATAAATGATGTGTTTTGACTGAAAAAACCGACCACATGCAATCCCCTTAATTAAATGATTTATTGTGTTTTGATTGAATATTTTATTTTTCTTAGGCTAATTATTTTACTGTTGACATAATTAAAAAAACTCAATTGCGATTTTATAAATCATTTTAGATTTTGCCGAATAATGAGAATATTCGAATAAATTATTTATTATTCGTTATTGGAATAAAAAATGCCCAACTCTGCCGGTATTCGAGTCAATTAAAAAATATTTTTTTTCACACACATAACAATGTGCAGATAATTGACATTTACTCGAATTCGTTTGGCCGTACCTACTTAAAAACAACACCATGACGGACGAATAATAATTGCCAGGTACTCGTTGCAATTAAATACATTTCAAATTTTATCTGAAAATCTAGAATAAAATTCGAGCGGCAATTTTAAATTTTTGAACAAAATGTTGTTTTTTCTACATGAAAAAACAACTTTGGACAAGACACGAGGTAGCTGTTGGGCTACTTAGATAAACATTCAGCGAATTGGCACCTAAGTCTCGACGGCATGTTTGACAAACGGTCGTTTGCTGTCACCAAACACAATAAACTTTGTCGAACGAGACAACAACAATATAAGCGTAGTATATGTGAGCAATATAATATTAGAAAGCATTGTACTCTAAACATACAAAAATACAAACTGTTTTTCGATTAGATTTCCTTCACGTTTCTCTTAGGCTGGCCCTTCATCTAACGTGCTTAATTTTCTAAATTATCAGAAAAATTGTGGTAAAACAGGAGTTTTGTAGTAGTTTTGACGTGTTTTTGGTAGGTACGTTGGAATTATTTTCTAAAATGTGCTTCAAATAGTTTCAGTGAAATTTTTTTTCTGAATTTAGCACAGGATGATGGAAAGTCATGAATGTTTGTTTCTTAAGTTAGTTAAAAACTTTGGAAGCGATTAAAAAACATTTTTTTTATGTAATTGAGATAACAGTTAGCGGTAATTTTAATCAACTACCGAAAAATGGACGCCAAAATTAATAGCACAATCGAAGTTGGTGTTTAAAATGTCCATTGAATTAATTCTTTAAATATCTAGATAAATGTTTTAAGTAATATTTTAATTGGAATACAATAAAATAAATTAATATCTTCTCGACAAAATTCAACAAGAAATTGATTAATGAAATTACAATTTTTGTTTACGTGCCTTTGTAAAAAGAAATTCTTTCTAGTTTATTGTTCATTAAATGTCTTCTTAAATGTTCTTATCATACACTTAGCAACAAAAATAATTAAAAAAATTAAAAATAATCTAAATGTAATTTTTATTTTGTAAACTAGTATTTTGTATATAATACTCAAAATACATAAATTGTAATTTGAAAACAAAAATAATGTCTTGGATATTTTAATATTTTACAATGAAATGTATTGCGGCTTTAGTACACTTCTAAGTAGTATATTAATATTTAACAATAACAATACGTAAAAAGGAAACAAGAAGAAAATTCATAACAAAAGTAAAAATAATAATAATACAAATTGGTACAAACACAGTAAAGTTATAACATATTATTAGACATGAAACTGTCAATTTTAACTTATTATTTTTTATTCAATACTTTAGAAGTTGACGGTCTCTTTTTGTCGTCTTCAAAGTAATTATACTTAATTTTCAGTTTTTCGCGAATCAAAGCGGCTCTTATTAAACGTTTCCAATTGCCGTACACTCTGTCTTCGTAGCGTTTTTGCTCTCGTTTACGGCTCTCCTCCATCTCCTGATTCCAAGCATCTGTGAGAGTCTCTTTGTACTCCTGACACACTATGAAACCGTCATTAACTGGATGTGAACCGCCAGAATGAAAGTCGAAGCCCACGACCGCGGGTGCACAGTCTATGTCCAATTTTTTCGCAATACGAAGCAAGCCGGGAACTAAAACAATAAATCGTAATTATAAATCAATGTAAAATCGTCCAAACATTAACACCCTTACGCTGTAAATGGACGGTTCCTTTTGGCAACATACAAGGTTTGAATAAGTCCACATTGCCGTAACAATTCCTTGGTACTTTACCGTCAGTAGCTGTTGGTGGGTCGTAAGGTTCGGTTTGCCATATGCCGAATAGTTCTAATGGAGGAGGGTCTGTTCTCACACCGTTCTATAAATACATTCCAATTAAAATAAAAGCCAAAAGAAAACCTCACGTAAAAACAAAATTGTTCGACTAACTCGGTCGAATCTAGGTCGCGCTTTGACTTGTTTGTAGAACTGTTCACCAATTTTCACTACACGAGCTTCTTTTAGCCAGTTTTCTCGACCGTTGAGCTCGTGAACGTATTCCCGAGAATATACTGGTTCATTGCGTACGTAACCAATAATCGGTGGCTCGGGCGGGTAAATTGCTTGAAATTTGAGCAAGTGTCTTTCGAGTGCATATAACGGATGGTCCTTGTACCTATCGAAATTAAAAATTAAAAAAAAAAATGTAAGCTGTGAAATTGTAATATTACACTAAACAGATACTTACTCGGAAATAGTTTTGGGTAATACGTCTTGGAGTTGTTTATCTAGATCTTCATCTTCTTCACGTTCTCTAACAGACGACGAAGGTTTATACGGTCTCAACGTTGAATCCCACCATTTTTTATCAACACGAATCTTTCTAGTTAACGTGTGAAATTGTGAATCATATCGTTTTGTCACTTCTTTAATGCTGTTATCGTTGTACCACGCTAAAACGTAACGCATGGGATGAGATGTGCTGTTCTAAAAAAATAAACAATTGCAAATAGAAATTAATTAAATTAAAAAACGATAAATTATTATAAATAAAAAAAGTGCATTTAACCAACATAGATTTCTTTGATGCAGTGAATACGTTTGCCGAGCACATCCACGCAAAACCATTTTTCTTCCATTTCAAGAAAAACTTCGGCCCAAATATCTGTTTTGATTTTCTTGCTTATCTTAATTTCTTCTGAACTATGGTTATCTTCGTCGGTGGATAAAACACGGCGATCAATTTTTTCTTTGAGCAAATTTCTTTTACTTTTAGAATTTTTGTTTTCGTTTGTCAGACTTTTATTGGTTGTTGACGAACTACTTTTTCTATTTGATGTCCGAGATTTCGCTGGGGATTTTTTAACATCCTTAGACTTTCCATTTGTTTGTTTTTTTACAAAAATTTCTTCGTCAGTTGAAATGTCGGAAATTTCTTCTTTTCGTACTTTCGACTTTGACTTGATATTTTTGAGAGCACTTTTGGAACCGGTTTTTTTATTATCTGTTTTACCGGTTTTCTTGTCAAAGTATTCAGATTTTGCTGGTGTTTTTTGCTTTAGCTTGGTCTTAGAACTACTTTTTGGCGATTTAATTTTGTTGTCATCGTTCAAAGTGCTTGATAGTTGTTCAGTGTTAGGAGGTTTGATTGGTACAGCATTTAAATTAATAACCAATCTCACACTTAAGCCTAACGATCTTAGCATAGAAATAAACATGGCTATAAAATCGTAACGCGTCCTTGCAATACAATGAGAAAATTGTTCTACTAAAGACAAAACGGTTATTTTTTTTATAGGCTCAGTTTTAGAAGCGACTTTAATTTTTTTAGAAAACCAATTTATATAGTTTTCCAAATAGTTCAAATCACATTTACTCGGCGGGTAAGCTTTTTCGGACGGAATTAGAGATAGTGCCGAGGCCATAACATCGGCAGAATTGAGAATTTTATTTAAACGATTTCCAAAACAAATCCATAAAAGTAAATCAACTTTGTGAACCAAAATTTGCGTTTCTTTACTAATTGTGTTCATACGTCGTTTGAGTAAATTTTCCATATCCTGTCCTTTTTTGCACTTGACGTTATTAGGCAATTTTATAGTCACTTCTACTACATCGGGTATTTTGTAATCTCTATCTTGTTTTTTTTGTTCGTCTTCTGTTTCTTCAATATCGTCTAAAATTGGGTTTGCTTCTAATTTTTCCCCCTTACACAACATTTTGGCGATATCTATTTTATCGCGTCGCTCTTCTACCTTGGAATTATTACTTGTAAATGATTTTGAATTTGTATTTTCTTCAAGAGATTTAGTGGCGTTCTGTGATTTAATTACAGAGCTAAAATCAAAATCAGTTTTGCAAACAATATCGTCTTCACTTTCGCTACTTGGGTTTGGGTCTTCTACGGGTATTGATTTTTCTTTTTTTTTGTCGTCACACAATATGCTACTATCACTGTCTGATTCTGATAAATTTAGCCCATAAGAATTAACAACTGATTTTGTATCCGAAACTGTATACTCTTCTCCAGAACTGTTGTCTTCGTGCGAACTATCGGATACCTCCTTCGGTTTGCGTTTTCGTTTCAAAGATGGCTCCTGAGAACTGCATTCTACAGTGCCTGTCGATTTAATTGTACGTTTGGACCTCCGCAACATTGTAAACTTCCAATACTGTAATATTTGTTTGCGACTATAATGGCTAAAACATAAAAATTTACATTATTTTAGTGTACCAATTATTTTTCAACTAATATTTACGAACTATGGAATTAAAGTATAAAATGTATTCAAAGAGTGTATTTATTGCAAGTTTGTAATAAATAAAGATATTATCGTCATCAAAAAGTTCACAGAAACAACAATTTGCAAAGTGTTCTAGTTTTTTAACTTTGCCTTATACAACGAAATTTTTGCACTTTTGTCACTTACATTTTCTACATACTTCTCACTTCTATATATTATATCAACATGCACACACCTCCATACTCCATTAGCAAATCATAACATCCACTCATTTTAGTTTTAGTCTACCTCAGTTTTCTTCTAATATAGTCGTTTATATTATGTTGCCAGAATTAGACTTTTAGAAGTGGTTCAAAGCAAAGAAATTTTAAGTACAATAACCTCACTATAAAATAATAATACAAATTCACGTTGAAAAAAAAATGACTTATTGTTTGGATCATAAATAAAAGAAACCCAAATTTTTCTAGCTAATCAGCATCAGAAACAGTCAGTAATTTTTACATTCAGGTTAGAAAATTACCAGTAGTTATAAAGATAACTTACCAACCGTGAAGTCGAGTGTATACCTTGTCAAAATGTGTTATAAAGTATAAACACACATATATTTTTATTTGTTATATGACATAATATAACCGATTAATATTATATTGGTAATAAACAGTACGGTAATTATTATTATCAACTACATTTTTACTTTTGTATTTCTATGAAACGGGTAATAACAAATAATTAAAATCGAAAAACCATCAAAATAATGCGTTTTTTGCGCCAAATTGAATGAAAATACAAACAATAACTTTTCGGCTGATAACGTTTATCTATTGATAAGATCAGGAACAATTTTATGTGATAACAGAAAATAATATAATTGTTATTATCAATATATCAAATTGAAAATTGTAAAATATAGGTCTATGGTAAATACTAAATAATTATCATTTATTTTTGCATAAATTCACAATTATCGGCTTGGTTATTACAACGCAATAAAAAAGTGCTATTAATTACTACTTTGTTGATTATTTCTAGTTTATTAAGCAGTCTGTATTCAGTGGTCTATAATATTAATCATGACATCAAATACTAAAAGGTAACACTAAAAATTATTACAAGTTATAACACATCATAACTTTAAAAAAAAACTGAAAATGAATACTACAATTTTCAGTATAAATTTTCTTATAAGCACTCTACATTGGCGTAGTAAAAAATCCGTGCACTATAATTTGGTGCCTGGTAAAATACTTTTTTTAAATTAAAAATTTGTATTAAAATAAATTGTTTTATTAATCACTACTTAAAACGAACATTAGACATTACTTAAATTCAGAAAACTATTATACTACTTGAAATGAATGGTCACAAGCAGCTTCGTTTACTAGATAGGAAACGGTCAAGTGGAGCAGCCATCCTTCCTCCGGTGATAGTTGAAGAGACAATTGATTTTTAATTTACCTAACCTGTCTTGCTCTAAGAACTGTATTTATAATAATGTATTATTGGTGTTTTTTTTTTTTTTATAAAGGTATGGTTTGACTGTTCCTAAAAAGAAGTTAAATGAACCTATGAAATTAAGAAATGTCTTTGGCGACGATAGTGATTCCGATGAAAACCAAACTGGGAAAAAAGTTATTCAGGTATAATTTTAATTATATAAGTATATACAGTTAATCAACGTAATTTTATGTATAATAATAGTTTTAAAAAAAACATTTCAGTCGTACTACATTTGTTTTTTACTTTACAGACTCAAAACAGAACCAAAGCTCAAGAAAGAAGTGCTAATATAGTGATTGATAAGGCTCTGGAAGAAGATTCTACAGTTTTTCAGTACGATGAAGTATATGATGAAATGGAAAAGAAAAAAGGACACTTAGATAGTAAAAAAAAGAAAGAAGTCGATAAAAAAGTAAATTCTATGTTATTTTATGGGCAAAACATATTGTCCCATAAGAATAATTTAAATTATTATAAAACTATGTGTAAAATACAATGTTTTTTTCTTTTACAGCCTCGGTATATTGAAAACTTAATAGCTCAAGCAGAAAAACGTAAAATCGAATATGAACGCCGAAACGAAAGAATGATACAAAAGGAAAGAGAAGCGGAAGGCGACGAATTTAAAGATAAAGAAGCGTTTGTCACGTCGTCGTATAAGAAAAAGCTGGAAGAAATGAAAAAAATGGACGAGGACGATTTAAAATTATCAATGATAGAAGATATTAACGATGTTACTAAGCAGAGAGACATGGGCAGTTTTTACAGACATTTATATAAAGCCGAGTTGTGCAAAGACGAAAATGTCGCTGAAGAAAAAATGATAACCAAAGTATCAGAGACAAGTCGCCAGTATCGAAAACGAGCTTCTTCGGAAAGCTCAAATTCCAGTGTCGCTAATGACGACAAAGACGATACTGATATGTCTAACTCCGACTCGTCTAGTGATTCGCCCAAGCGGAAAAAGAAGAGTGATGAAAATGGACCTGAAGAAGGCGAGATTATCGAAGATAAACCCGCCGATTTATCGAGTACTTTAAAAGATAAAATAGACGAACCAGAGACGACCGTCAAAGCCGAAGCCGACACTATTAAAAAAGACAAGAAAGAGAAGAAAGAAAGTAAGCCCAAAGAACCTAAGCGAGATATTTGGAAAAAGAGGACAGTGGGCGATGCTTTTATAGCGGCACAGCAAAGGTATTTCGAAAGAAAAGCAAACGGAGCTATTTTACAATATTAAAACTCCACGGTTTAAATTAAAATGTAATTAAACATTTGTAAATAGTAATTGTAATAAAAAAAAAAAAAAACTAATGTCCAATAAATTATTTGAATGTAATAAATACTTATTAAATATATATATATATATTTTTTTTTTAACAAATAAAATAATAGAAAAATAATTTGTAATACAAAAATAACAATTTTCAAAAAAAAATATTTTTAAAAAATCAACAATTTGGAATGTAAACGCATTATGATAATAATAATGTAAAACACAATATAAAATATAATATGGTAAAAAAAAAAAATGGCTGTGCTCATAAATTTATTATTATAATCCATTTCTAATAAATAGTTTTCAATCTTATATAATTTAAAAATAATAATAACTATTATAAATAGTTTATTATTATGACGCAATTTTTATGCATATAATGCCGAACGTATAGGGAAACCGGATCCAGTTAATATTTTTAAAATTTGCTTACAGACTACAAAACTAGATTTCACAAGGTTCAATTTTTGTTGTTCAAATATTTTTATTTTAATAAAAGCGCAATATGACTTGTATTTTTTTTTTAACAAAAAAACAAACTATAAGTATGTGCGAGATAAATATTTAAAAAACAAAAATCGACTGAAATCTAGATTAGCATTTTATAGTAAACTAAATTTAAAAATATGCACGGGATATTGAGTTGCAGAGTATGCCATTTATACAACTGCTCGGCATTAGTACAAATAAAATAACGTCTTCTAATGAGCAGTACACTGCCGTGCTTATTAGAAATGTCCTATCTACATATATATGTTATCTGTATATGTTAGGACATTTCTTCTTAGCACGGCAGTTAACAATGTACAAAATATAACAGCAAGATGGCATATCAAAAATATAATATTATATAATTTAGTAGTTTTTCTTATTACGCAGTCTAACAAGTAGTACGATTAAGTTATGGACTATTTTTTTTTTTAGTTGATATACTGATAACAGTAAAGGTAACTACGACTAAAATATTACATAAAAATAAAGTATCAACTAAGAGGTTAGTAATATATAGTTAAATAATTATACAATAATTGGAGTGTTAAATTTCAGTGGAGTTATTGTAAGCAATCACGCATTCTCGGCTACACAAAGGACGCTTTTCGTCTTTCACCATAAACTTTTTACCCAACAGCGACGTATAACACTGGTAGCATTTGAAGCACGCCGGGGACTCGTGCCAACTCAAATCTTTCCAGCCGATCCTACTGTCACCAGCTACAATATTTTTACGGCACGTCTCGCATTTCTGATAACACGTCAATATTAAAACATTAGTAGACATAGTTTTAATGCAACTAATATAATACTTATTTGTACTTACTTTTCCATATTTGAATTGGTAACAGTCTAGACAGACCGGTTGGTTTTCGATTTGCACATACTCTAAACCGGCCAACGGTTTATCACATTCGAAACAACAAAAATGTCTGACATGGAACGTATGGTTTTCTGCTATTGTATATTCTTTCAGAAATATTAACTAAACGAAAAATATTATATCAATAATAAATATTTATGAATATTTAACGAGTTTGGATTTGTGCCCAATATACGTATATACGTATACAAACCTCGTCACAGGCGAGACAACGTGGTATGTTAAGTGTCTCGGCATAGTGTCTGCCACAGTACACATTGTCTTGGTGGAAGAAATAAACGAGATCAACTAACAGCTCCTAAATTCGTTTACACAAAGTTTTATGATAATACGATCGATTAATTAAGCAATATATAATATTGATAATTTTTATTTTACCTTGCAAGTAGTACAAACGAAACACGACGGGTGCCAAAGTACGTCTTTTCCTGTCCTTTCTGCTAATACGGCCACTTGTCCAGGATAAACATTATCGTTACACTGTTTGCAAAATAATTGCCTACCTTCGGGCACAATATACATGTCGTTGTGTGATGGCATGAATTCTTTTTTGTTTTTCAATATATCTATAGAGCTATTTCCATCATAGGGAGCAGGTTTAAAATTATCGTTCTGAGCGTGATGAGATACAAGCTGCTGCGGTGAATATGGCGTCAGAGTGTTTAGAGACTGCTTTGCCGGTAAAACTGTTGAACCCGTTTCAGTTGTATTATTATTCACATTGTCTAAAGGATTACAAGCCTCAGTTAAATCTGACATATTATCTCCTTTAGAATAGTTTTTATTTTGAATGAACGTGTGTGGAGTCTTTAAATCCGTAGTGCAAGGGTACAAGAGTTCTGGCGGAGGGGGTGGAAATTCTTCGTCTTCGGAGAGTTGATTTTTCTTAAAAGGTTTAGGCGCCAAGTTTAGATTTTTAAAAAGTGGCAGTGGATTAGTATTGTCCGCTAATTTTTTTATTAAACCTTGTCCAAGAGCATTTTTCTTTAAGTCTTCCAAATAAAAAGACATTGCGTTTTCCTCTTCAGCCGTTAGTTCATGGCAAACATTTGCGTTAAAGTCGTGTAAAGGCACTTGTCTTTCGAGCTGTTGACGTCTATACAAAGCGCCTTCACTGCCGCTTATCGGCAACTTGTTTGACGGTAATAACTGCATGTACTCGGAAGCTAGATCTTTATTTATATTTGGAGGCACCCAGTCAAACTTGAATGTATTTTGATTTCTATCGGTTTCTTCGACTTTTACCATTTGATCGTCCGGTTTAATTATCATATTTAACGCTGAAAAAAAAACATTTATTTATTTTCGAGTTGTAAAGAACCAAACATATTTTTTGGCAGATGAGCTATTGTCAACCATAGAACAATCTAAATCAAATATTAAATATTATTTAGTGTCATATACGACTAGGTTTTTTGTTCTCTATCTGTTTTTTTTTATGTGCTTTCAAGTCCTCTTAAAAAAATATGCAATTTTACATTAAGTACGATTGGTCCTCAAAACTCAAGTCATTGATACACAATGAACACCACTTACTAGCTTTGACTGGTTGATAATTTGATTTGGAATCGTTAAACAAAATATCAAATTGTTCGTATTGATCTTCTTCTGTTATATTGTGTTCTTCTTTTTTACATTTACAGTTTCTACATACTTTACGCCAAAAATGTAGATCCAAACCGGGGCATTTGTCTAGGCAATTTAAACAGTTTGAACCAGATCCAATTTCGTGTGCCAGTTTATGATGCTAGAACATATTTAAAAAAAAAAATGTATTTCCAGTATAACTTATAATAATATATATATATATATATACAACAACTAATAACATAAAACTTTTAAAATAAACAACACTAATCAAACATAAATACAAATCTAAGGAATATTGACGGTGATACCAAAAAACAGCTATTCTCTATCGACTGATCTCAATTCCTTATCGATATGAATACTATTAACTGATAACAGTAAAGTACAGCTTAAAAAAAACCACTAAGAATCTTTCTTGAAGAAGTCATTTTTTCAATAGTTGCCAAAAAGTAGTACTACAATTTTGAAATATACGGCTTTTAGCAGTATAACCGTCTATAATCTATATAATATTAATATTTATTAGCGCTTTATTTATCTTGCATTCTGTTTTACCCGAACAATCTGATTTATCAATTAACTGCACACAGTTTTTTGATTTTTGCCCTTTTTCGTTATCCATTAGTGTCACGAGTACATCAGTTTTTGGCCATCAACGATAACACTTCTCTGTGCACTTTGAATCATCAAGTAACATGGATTCCCTAATGAACACTCTAAATATAGTTTATTCCACTGATAATGGTAAAATAAAAAGTCAGGATAGTTTGACGAGAGCATAAATTTGGGTTGTACAGTTATGCAGTTTTTAAAATGATAAAATCTCTTTCAGGAAAACACTACAATGGGAATTTATTGAACTACATTTTTATAAAAATATTCAATCATTTTTATTATACAATGCAGTATGGACTTTCATATTGATTTTAACGGTCTAGTAATGTTTATAGTTATACCTCAATAAAAAATTCCCCATTTTTTCATACATGATAGAAACTTACTGTTTACTTAAAATCCTAGAACTTATGTACAGTAAAAAAAATTATAGTTTTAAATTATTTCACTGATTTTAAATGATCAGTTGTTGGGAGTGTACTAGAATAATACTAAAAAAAAATCCATGTAATAATTTTGGTTTTACAGTTTTAAAGGAGAAAGAATGGGCTCTCAGCTTAAAGTAGTGTATCAGTGACATGCAATTTTCTAGTCTAAAACCAATGTATGAAGAAATCAAACACAATATTAAAAGGTTAGTGTCAATCTAAAAACACACTAAAAAAAACAAATAGAAACACTTTTCTAGAAAAACCAATACCTTCTTGGATCTGCAATCTGCACCGAAGCCATAATTTTAAACTTTTTTTAACAATATAAAATTGAAAAATGTATTAAAATATTTGTATAGGACATTAAAATATTATAATACTGCAAATTACCTTCTTTTGCTTGTTTTCCAACTTGGAAACCCATTCAGGGGTTTTAAAATGTTCTTCTGGTTCTAATGACATTGTTGAATTTTTTCTTCTTCAAAATTAAAAAAAAAAAACGTTTTGGAAAAATGTATAAGTATATGATTATTGACTGAAGGTGAACAATTAATTATTATATAGATAGCAGACGGGTCTTGTATACATGGTATATTTTATAATAATAACAATAAAAGTATTACATCTTTAATCACAGAAAGCATAATTGGTAATCACAAAACGTTAAAATGACGTCAACGTTAAAGAATTTAAAAAAAAAAATGTAGACAAACCCACATGGGATGGGAGTTGGGACGCATGTTACCTGTTACCGAAAGTATACCAATAGAAAGGCATGTCAGCAATTTTGCGTTATCAGCTTACACAACATGGTTGCTGCTGTTCTCCGGACAAAGAAATCCACGGCGGCAGCCATTTTGTGGTTATCACAATTTGCTGGCATACCTACGTATATGTTTAGATTTTAGCCAATGCTGATAATACGGTGGTATACAATGATGACAACTGATAAACAGCTGGTGATACGGTATTGGGAAAGGACAATTATTATTATAACTTTTATAATTAAATACGCGAAATTTGTTATAAAACGTAGGAAAGGTAAGCAACTCTTAAAGTCTTAACGCTCCATTGTGTAATCTAGTGTACATAAATTACGGGCTGTAACCTTCACTTTCACGGTTCAAAATATCATTATAAATTATAATTAATAATCTGTGATATGACTACATACAAATACAACGGTTATAATATAGTATCATCTTCTGACTGATTACATACAATAAACAACGGTTATTTAATTTATTAGGCGTGTTTTGGCGATGTGTTTTAAGTAAACTTGGTTGCTGATATTGTTTACTGGATTGTTGTGGAGTTTAAAAGTTACCACATCACCAAAACGTATTGTTTACCGTTTAGCAAATATGAAATATGTAGTGATAAAACCTGTTATCAGCGAAGATCTGAGTAACCAAATATATTCAGTTAACGATAATAAGTTTGGCTGTTTTCACCCCAACCATATTGTCAAAAGTGCATTCAGTTGTCAACCTGACTGCATTGAACAACATCACCAATACAATAAGTCTGCTTAATGGTTTGCTGATTACATATACTAACAGACCATTGTAAGCATTTAAAAAAATTCATTGTGCATTCAGCATAGTGAGCCCAACTCGAAAGTCGGGCGTTAGAAAAATTATTTATCTAGACTCCTTTGAGTGCTCCCCTCCACGGAAATCTTTAGTAAAAGGCGAAAGATTTATTCGTATTGAAAGGGAACCGGAGTTGACTTCAAAATGCTCATCTACAGGTACTTATGCTCAGACCGCTGCGGTCGACCCGTTGAGTGAACCCCCCCACGAACTTGTGCCATTTGATCTGATTTGACCCCCGACAAACGTTTTTTGCCAACTGTCCATTAAGCCGTCGGTTAGTGAGACGCCATGGAATTCCAAAATTCCGTCTTTAGTGAGTTTTCTTATAACCGTTACCCGAAATTCTGTCGGTGCTCGTTGAGAATTTATACGGAAACTCCCAAAGCCGCCATCTACCGGCAACATAACGCGTCGCCGCCGGGTACTATTCACTATAGAGATCCTCTTAGTTGAAGATGGACCAAGTATTATATTATTATCGTTTTATAAAAATATGGATAACTATATAAATTAAAACATGCATAATTATTTTGATGTTTACAACTGGATGCTAGTGCCGATATCAATATTCAATACTATATTCGTATTAGGAACGGGAAAAACTATAACGACAGAACAAAATGTCGATAATTTATAAATATGATTATAACAATATATTTTGATATTCACAACTGGACGATAGTATCGATATATTTGTATCGTAGGCTCATTCCTACTCTCTGCCATTCCACATCGACACCATGTCTATCCCAGCAAATTAAAAATTGGTTTTGTATTTAGCAGCAAACAAAATTCAAAATTTACCTAATTGTTACACCAGGTGTCCCTGTAAAAAATCCATCTTTTAAAATAACGTGGTCACAATTATTATTATAGGTACATTGTCATTTTTAAAATTAGTTAACGTTATTATTTTATTTGCATACCTTTAATAGTAGGGTAGTATATCATATAGTAGTATTAATAGTATTAATCATCAGTTTATCTATTATTTTAATTGGAATTATTAATTGTTGTTTCAAAAACAAAATGTTTATATGAAAAAAGTATAAAATACCTATGACTATTGGCCACAAGTCTACCCCGGCTATGTCATTATACTGAACGACTATATTCTATAAGTTTTCTACTATAATACTTGCGCATCAATATCTTTTTCTTAGATTTATCTTATCAAAAAGCCGCTCTAGTAAGTGACTAGTCGGTGTCCCTCCAAAGGTTCGTAAAGCATAGTACAAATATAACACGGTAGAGTTACTTCTGTTACATATTGTGTGCGTTTAAGATACCTACAGTTATTTTAAAGTAAAATACATAGGATGATGCGGATTTTAATTCATGACTTGATTAATGCAAATACAACATTTACATGTTAATGACTTTTGTCCTCTAAATTGTGGAGGTATCATTTGAAAAAATTAAATTAAAAATCTTGAAAAAAGTTTTAAAAAAGGTACCTTATTGACTGTTGATTATTGCATACATTTTGAATTTTATGGGATGAAGGGGTTTACTCATAAGTCATAATATACTAGTCTTATCACAAAATATATTCTTTCAAATTTTAATGTGTGATATTAATATTATTGTTCTTGATAAATGATAATACAATACTGAAGATTCTAAAATCGAATTCATTCATGTATCAATAATTATTATATTAGTTGTGTTTACTGTTTAATGTTTTGTGCCGTTTCCACCATATAGGCCCCTTCAGAAAATATTAATAATAAATCTCCGTCTAAATGTACTCCAGTAAAGAATATTCGAGAAAGAAATCTTCATTCAAGCTGCCAATAGTGAAAATGTTTATTATCAAAACGTCCAACAAACCAACAGCAGTTTCAATGAGTAATTTTGTCGATCACTTTTATGCTACAGAAAAACAGCAGTGAAGTGCTTTATGAATCAACTTGTTGTGCACAACTAGCTCAATGGGTTGAATCTTAAAAGCAACAATTAAGAACAAGTCAGGAACGTTTTAATAAAAAATCAAATGAGTTGAAAAAAAAATTTAGCATTCGTTTTTGACCACTTACCAACTATGAACTTTGGAACATAAAAGTATAAAAGATTTTTGATAGTTTGATGACAGTATAAAAAGTGCTATGAAAATAATAACTTTTTGTGAAACTTTGAATCTGGATAATAATTTCTCAGATTTCCCTCTGTCGTCTCTTCGAGTATTACGTAGAAAAATGAAAATATTATACAACAAATAAGATTACACATAAGAACTGTTATCCGCAAATACTACCTCATTCAAATTTAGCAAAATATTTTAGCCGATGAGCATGACTGGACGATAATTAATTCTAAGACTTCAAGATGACCGTGAGTACAAGGGCTGTACAGTACCTTAAAAAATGTATTTCCTTAATTATTTAAAACGATGGTTAATTTTAAAATTGTAACCCATTGTCTACATATAACATATAAACAATGTTAAGGATTTATTTAATATAATAAAAGTATTGATAAATTATTTTTTGAATATTTCTACAATATTTTTAGATTATTTTTTTTTATTTTGCTCTTTGTGCAAAGTATTCTAACTATTGTTGTATGTATATAGTACTGACATAAACACCAAATTACATTACTTCATCCGTCTATTATAGTTATTATTGACTTGATAAAAACTAAACTATATATTATACAAATTTTGGTTTGTATGTTGTATTTTTGTACCTTTAATATTATTTTGGTTAACAGAATAGAACAATGTTAAATCAATTTTCCTTTATGCTTTTGAAAAATTTGAAAAATGTCCATTATGCTAACAGCCAAATAGATTTTTAACCGCCGAATTATATATTTAAAGTTCATAGGTTCATAGTTATTACTTATAAAGTATATAACAAAGTAAAAACAATATTTTTTTTTCAGTTACCAACACCAAGGAATTAAAATAGAACAACAACATGCTTACTACTAAACATTATTTATAAATTCATTTTGTGAATTAAATCAAGCTTTAGACTCGAGAGATGTCATAATTTATAGAAAATGATGCAAGTATGAATCTTCAATCGCCCTACATTTGATAACATGAGGTGTATGTATCAGTTTTATTTTTAAATAAATTATCTCAAACGCTACGTATTTTTTATTCTTGATTGGTTGCTATATTTACAGATCGATGTTTATTTAACAAAAGCCAAGCTCTGCTCTGAATAACTACTTGATACAATCGAGGGATATGCTTATATACCGGAACAGAATATTGGTGAATTTTCATTTTTTTGTTAGTTTTTCAGATTGAAATGTCTATAGTTATGTAGTATAGCCATAAATAATAATATCAATGGCATAGTGCACAAGTATGATGAATCATTTTTTTTTATAATTTTAAACATTATTATGTATTTACTGAACTTATGGAAATTCTCTAGTAGCAGTAATTTTTGAACAAGCTATTAAAAGTGTTATAAATACACAAATAATAATGTTTGATCAGTATTTTAAAATTATTTTTCTTCTTAAACAATTATTTTTCGCTCTGATTTATATTTAACAAGTATTTTTTACATCACTGAAAATTATATCATGTGTTTATCTATTGCTATACATAACTCATTTTCTTTGGGAAAAAAAGTGCTCTCATCGCACCTGTGCACTACTTTTGAATTGTGTTAATACGTTCTTTGTATGCTTTAAATTAATAATTACAATAACTGTTAAATAAATTAAAACTAATGAAAACTACGAATTTATATACATAAATTGCTGTCACGATTAAAAACTAAACTGTTAATTCAATTTAATCACACAATAAATATTTTAACCGTTTAAAAATACAATTTTAACAAAAAAATAAAAATTGGAGTACTTAATAAATTAAATAATAAATAATAATAAATTAAATCCAAAGCATAAAGTGCATGAATGTCTTAATTATATCGGATGAATTTAACGCAATCTAAAGATAACCGACAGTTTTTTTTTTTTAATAAACATTAATTTTTGTACGTAATAACAATAATATATATATATTTTTATTTAACAGGTACATGTTAATTAAAAATATTTTTAGTGGCAAATGAGTAATGACAATAAATCATGGTTTGTTGTTGTTGTTTTAAAACTTGTACTCTGTCGTTTAATATTAGGCTGCTGCAACTTAAGCACATGGCAAACATTTTGAAAATAAACGACAGTCATTATTTGAAATTTGGTTATTATAGCAAACAGATTTAGACAAATAGTTATATTGTAAGAAACCCATTTTAAACAAGTCTATACCTACATTTTTTAAAAAATTTAAAGAATTTGTTTATTAAAAAAAAGATTTGTAATATACCTAACCAACACACATAGTTCTATCGACGCTTTTAACCCGTAAAGTTTTGAAAATTATTGTTGATTTTGACTTTTCTAAAATATTAGAGGTTTTTGAGTTCAAAACTACTATAAGGAAAATGGTCCAAAATAATTTTGGATTTTGAATTATCTATAATACTAGACATTTTTGAACTTACCATAGTAATTCTTAATTTTCATGGTAATTTTGGGTTTAACTGAACATCTTTAAAAATGTTCAAAATAATTTTGGATTTTTATTTTTTTTTTTAAACTAGAGCCTTGGATTTCGAATTTTCCTACATTTTGAAAATAAATATGTCACTGCAAACATAATAGTAGTGCTATCTAACGGATGTAAAGTAATAAAAAAGAGAAGGCGGCTATACAGAAACGCACAGAGCGAATTTTCAGCGGCTGCCGGTAGATGCCGCTGACGCTGTATTTTTTTTGAGTTAGTTAATTTTTGGCAGGTTTTTTTCAAAAATTCGATCCAAAATCTTTACGAAATCTTTTTGAACCATATTATTTTAATTGTAATTGAGATTTACAAGATATTAGAGCAACTTTTAGCACGTTTTCGACAATTTTTTGAGTTTTCTCAAATTATTGTTCTGCGTTTTTTTTGTACGTTAGTTTTTTGATATATAGAATATAGTTTGTCGTTTTGAGTGTCGCTTCTCGGCCTATCGGCTAAGATCGAAGTGTACTCTAAATTCATAGCATTCCCTACTAATGAAGCATCTGTACCAGATGTAGCATTGGGAGGTGTGGCGCAGTGGACACCTCAGATGCCGCGTGGCACTTGAGGTAAGCTGTGTCCGTTGCTGCGATCTTTTTGAAGTCATGAGTACTGATGTTTCGTTCATTGATTCCACATGTGCCCCATAATTGAGGTGCATATAACCAGAACAGCCTAACCCACAAAAGTGTAATTGCGCAGGACGGGCATTTAAAGTTTTGACTACTGTTGACTACGGGCGGTGAACGCGGAGCGTCCGCGAACACGGGGCGAACCTCCCAGACCGAACAGCGGAGCAGTCACGGTGCAGCGTCGGCAGCCGACTCTGGAAGGTGAGGCGATGACCGAGAAATGTGTACCAAACAGGTCCTGGCCAATCACACGTGGGACCACCGCAGGCGCGTGATCGCCGAGGCCGCAGCCGTCGTCATGCCCGTGCCGGCGACGAGGCAGCGAGGCGGTGTTCCTCGCACCGGTAGAGGCGGGGATCCGAGGATCCCGGGAGTCACGGTAGTACCACCGGACGAATCACCACCTCCGCGGGTCGCGACACCCGTTCCGCCGCCGGTCGAGTCACCTCCGCGGGTCTTGAGGCCCGCTCAGACCCGGGTTCCGACGCCGGTCCGACCGATGGAGGCGAGAGTGGTCACGCTCTCCGAGCCGCGGCGAGATTCACCAAGAAACGAGGGCTATGTGGTGGCTTACGCGAGCCCCGAGCTATGGACGCCCAGTCTACTAGCGAGCACGCAGGCCTCCGATCAGGGTAGCAACACGGAGAAAGTAGCAGATAGCGTAGTCGAAGGCGAAGAGGGCTCCTCGGACATTGACCACCCTTTGCGGCCTGATGACACTACCGCTATACACGCTCACCTCCCGTGTTTGCTCGAAATCTTAGCGGCGCCGACGACGGCCAACACGTGGGAGAGGTTCACCGGTCTGGTGGAGCGGATTACCGCTGACGCCATGGCGATGGCGAAAATACCGGACAGACCCCCTAGGAGCAACGTGAGAGCGCGGGTTAATGTGGAAGATGCCGAAGCCCTGCAGAAATTATACCGGAGGAACAGGAGTAAAGCGGTTCGTGCTATTGTCGGGGGCGACGGCGTGCGGTGTGAGATACCGGTCGAGGAGGTCGAGGCCCACTTTCGGGCGGTATGGGCTGGCACGGAGGGCGACCCGACTCTGTACCCATCGCACGACGACGACGACCGATGCCCACCGGCGGGTTCACGGCCGTGGAAGTCGAAAAAAGGCTGAACAAATTTGAAAACACCGTGCCCGGAGACGACGGGCTCACGTACCGGCACTGGCGCCTGATTGACCCGCGATGTACGTTGCTGACTGCAATATTCAATGTTTGCTTGAAGCACCGGAGAGTGCCCGTCCAGTGGAAAAGTGCGACCACGGTGCTGATCCACAAAAAAGGCGACGTCGGGGAGCTAGGCAACTGGAGGCCCATCGCCCCGAGTCGGACGATCTACAAACTTTACGCCGGATGCCTCGCCAAAAGGTTGACGGCGTGGCTGATGGCTTAATCTCGTGGCGTTGAACGGGTCAGCGTCGTGGCGGTCTGGCGACCGCAGTTGTCGGCGATGTGGGTGCATCACAGAAAGCTTAGCCCACGTCGTTGACCACTGCTGGCGCTATACCGCCATGTACATGGCCCGCCACAACGCGGTGGTGGCAAGAATTAAGAAGGCTGCGGTACCCAAGTTCGAGATTCTGAGTGAAAATCAAGTGATCGGGAGCGGAGGACTGCGGCCCGACTTGGTGCTCAGGCGTGACGGTCGGGTGTATATCGTCGACGTGACGATCCCGGCCGAATACCGCATGGCATCATTTAAGACAGCCGCCGACGAGAAACGTGCGAAATATGAAGATTTGCGGGCCGAGTTGGCCGAGGCTAATGCAGGAGTAGTGGTGTACCCAGTGGAAGTGGGTGCACTCGGGTGTTGGGACCCGAACAACGATCTGCTCCTGCAGAAGCTGTGTGCTCGGTCGTACGCTTCGCTGATGCGGAAACTGTGCATTAGTGAGGTGATCGGATACACTCGAGATGTACACATCGAGCACCTCACTGACGTACGGCAGCGGCAGCTGTAGGCCGGCACACAATTTTACCTTTTTTTTATACTGCATTGTGATTTTTACTTATTATTATTCTTACTTTTGTTGTGTTCTATGTCATTATTATGTAGAATGTTTAAAATTATCATATTATATGTAAAATGTATACTATTATGTATTCATGAACCACTGTATAAGATTCAAATAAAAACTCTGTTCTTATCAGCTTAACATCTGATACACCTCGCATCGTGGGGTTCAAATGTTAAACTAATTTTTTCAAATTGGTGGAGAATTTGGGGCTTGCTCCTACTCCACCGCGGGTTGACCCGGTATTGCAGTACCACTGGGAACGGCCCAAATAAACGTCCAAAACACACTTTAAAATAATTCTAAAATTGATTGTCCAAATGTTTGAAAAACGAAAATTAATTAGGAAAATTTAAAATCTTATTGAAGAAATTCCAATTTCTTTTGGAAATCTTAAAATAATTATGGAGAAGTCAAAATCCTTCTCGGGGATGACCCAAAATTATTTTGACTTGTTCAAAATCACGATGGACGACTCAAAATTAATTTGGATATGTCAGAATCTATAATATTTTTCGAAATTACATATTGTATATAAATACAATCATAGTTTTTGAAAAATATAAATTCATTCAATTTCGAAAATAGTTGTGGTCTTGTTCAATTTTATGTTCAAATTACAATATATTGATTTTGTCCTCGACTACTGTATAGTAACTAATTTGAAAAACAGTCGTCGTTGGTTTTCAAAATTATCGCCACCTGCTTAAGCCGCAGTAGCCCAAAAATTAAACTATTAAAGACCAGTTATTTTGAAAAATGTAAAATTTACACCATGGTCACAAAAATATAAAATATACTTATTATTAAGTATTTATTAAAAAATAGATCTTTAGGAACCGACATTTATTATTACTAAATTCAATAAAAAAAAAAGTTGTCTGAACTTGGTCAAAAATGGCCCCAAGGTAACGAAACATTTTAAATTTCAAAATTCAGTTTTAAAAATGTCCTTTATTCATTTATCGCGTGGTTGTACCTTAGTATTTGGTTAATAATTATAAATTACAAACTTTGCTGTGGCTCTTAATAACCAAAATGCAAAATTCACTCATCGATACATTGATCAACAATCAACATATTATCAGTCTGCCCATTTATCGTCAAGTAATGTACGAAACATATTTTAAACGTGCACAATAATAAAATAATGTGATTTAGTTTGTATTTAATTTTTTGCGCTGTGAAAATAAATGTTATGCAGTGTGTTACATCATATTATATAATTAAAAAAAAAAAAAATAGTTATAGTATTGTGTTTAAATAAGTAAATAAACTGATGCCAACGTCCATACCACGTTGAATACACCAGTTCTCGTCCGATCATCGAAGTAAAGCAACGTCGGGCGTAGTTAGTACTTGGATGGGTGACCGCTTGGGAACACTACGTGCCGTTGGCGTTTATTTGCCTTTTTTATATCTGTACACTATTTTTTTGTTGTGCTGTATGAACTAAATTGTACGTCCACAGGTGGATAGGCTAAATTTTTGTTACTGAAAAATATATGAAAACGGCCCTAAACTAGTCTTATGGCCGTTCCTATTCCTATTCCTATCCTGTCCCGGCTAGGGTCCCTTAATTTAGCCTTAAAAGGCGGAGGGTCGTGGGTGTGATCCACTCACCGCACTGCACCGTAACAATACCAATTACATAATAACAACAAACAATTATCGTTTACATTAAAATTTGTATTTTGCAAAACAGAAGATAACGGGAAACAATTTTTTTTATATATTACAATTTATATTTTTTTTATAGTTTAACAATGAAATGCTTATGATGAATAAGCTAGACATTTACATTATATTACAATTATTTCTCCGGTTTTCTGACGCAGATCGCGGTTCTTGCGGATGACCTAACAAATAACATAATTATTCAGATTATACAACTGATAATGACGTAATATTTTTTATTTAAAGCGACTTACTGTTATTGTCGTTGCCATCTGTAGGTGTTTCAGTAATTGACCCTGGAAAAATATTAAATTAGTCTGACTTGTTTGAATGGCTTTCACAGTTAGAAATAATCTTAAAGAATTATTAAAAATCTATTTCTATTACGATTCCCGGACACTTGCCCGAAGCCAATTGAAACCAATGCTAATAAATCAAGTGATAAAAATGATTACACAAGCTAACAGTCCCAGTAACATTTTCCATTTAGCTATTCTTACCCGTCAATACCACAATGCCTTCTAACAATAATTTTGTTCCCACAATTTTTGTTTCGTTTAAGTAAAAATGTATCCCCCTGAAACACAATATTAATTTAGTCTGACAGATTTGATTTGCTTTGGCGCAATTTGTGGTGCTTGTGGATATCCTACTTATTCAGACTATACTATATTGTTAATGATGTAATATTCTTTATTTAAATAGCTTAGTAATTTACCTTAGCTCCGCATTGATGAAACTAAAATGCGGAGCTGAGAATCCGTAATATAACATATATCAACAAGTGTTAAGTCAAAGGTACTATAATATGCTATATATATATGGTAAAATATACCAAATGGCGCATAGGTTTGCGGAGACCTTATTATTGCAGACTATACTTTTGGCAATTATATAACATATACATCGACTTACTATTGTTGTCGGTGCCATCAGTTCTGTGAATATTCGTAGGCGGTCCAGTGTTTACCCCTGAAAAAAAAAAATATAAATTTAGTCTGACTCTTTGACTTGCTTTCGCAGTTTGAACATTGAATTTTTTAATAAAATTATTATTTATATTTGTATTCCATTCTTCTCTAATATTGATAATGGTACACCGTTCAATATTTATTGTATACACATTGACTTACTATTAAACCATCTATTGAATGCATCTGAAAAAATTAATGTAGTTTCACTGGTTTGGCTTGTTTTCGCAGTTTGACATATTATTTGAATGTTATTAAAAATATATTTGTATTATAATTTCAGTCTTCTCCAAAATTGTGCAAGTAGTGGTGCTTAAGGATATCTTAATTATTCAGACTATACAATTGGCTACTATATAAAAGATATAATATACACAGCGACTTACTATTAACGCCTCTAACACCAAATCCGAGAATATTTAACAAGAGATTACACCATCCATTGTTTTCCCCTGAAAACAATTTTATTAGTCTGACTTGTTTGACTTTCATTTGCAGTTAAAAATGATTTATTATTACAAAACGGGCCGCGGCCCAATGTACATATATTTAATACAGAATTTAAACATATACTCATGGTCAATTTTCAAATTTTCTTATGTTTATAGACAGTTGAAATAAAACTAAGATTTAATAGCTCAGGGTAGGTACTCGAAGCAATAAACTTGCGAAATAAAAGACACAGAGGAAAACATAATGTAGAGAAAATAGAGTGTACAAATCCACCAGAAAACCCATCAGGGCCAACTGACTTATTATCTTTCAAATTTCAAAATAGCAAAGGCAAAATCTACTTAAGCAATACCAAGAAAACAATTACTAGAAAGATCATAGTATAATCGTGGGTCAGTTAGAGAAATATAGTGAAAACATCTATTTTTCCTAATGAATTCCAAAAACTTAGATGGGTTACTACAAAAAGTCGCCTCAGTAGACTCAATAAACTTTCTATAAAACTTCATCGATAATTACTAATAATTTGCACGGCTTATAATTAAAAAAACTCATTTAAAGTTTAAATTTGCCTCTGGAAATATATTAATTTAGTCTGACACGATTGACTTGCATTCGCAATTTGAAATAATCTTTGAAAGTTATTGCAAATCGATTTATTTTATCATTTCACTCTTCTCTAAGTAGCACAAGTAGTAGTGCTTGATCATTCAGACTATACTATTGATAATGATATAATATAATATATATATAGACTTACCAGCAATTTCATAATTATTCCTAGGCGGTTCAGTGTTGGTCCCTGAAAAAATAATAATTAACTCTGACATGTTTGAATTGCTTTCACAGTTTTGAATAATGTCTGAAAGTTTTAATATTTTGGCCGTCTCCAAATGGTGCATGTAGTAGGGCTTGTGGATATCCTAATTATTCAGACTATACTATTGACAATGTTATAATATATACATCGACTTACTAATATTCCGGGTTGGCCGACGTTGCCCTACATCGAGAGATAACATGGACAGTAAATAATAGTATAATTTTCTTTAGCTTAAATGCGGAGCTCAGAATTCTCTTAGCCGTATAATCAATATTGACAAATGTAAATATTAAAAATTAGTACACGATCTACGGTATTCTCTTGAAAACATAATTAATTTAATCTGCAAGGTTTGAATTGCTTTCACAGTTTGAAATAATCTTTGAGAATTATTAAAAATCTAAAGTAGTGTTGCTTGTGGATATCCTACTTACTCATACTAAACAATTGATAATGATACAATATTTATTGACTTACTAATATTGCTGGTGCTATTAATTTCGTAACTATTCCTAGGCAATCCAGTGTTGGTCCCTAAAAAAAAAAAAAATAATTAATTCTGACATGTTTGACTTGCTTTTGCAGTTTCAAATAATGTCTGAAAGTATTTATTATTTCAGTTATTCCAACTGTGCAAGTAATAATGTTTGTGGATATCCTAATTATATACTATTGGCTTACTATTGCGGCGGTTTGGCCGACGTGGACCCATATCAACAGATAAAATAAACAATATAAATTAGTATTGTAGTAGTCATAGATTTGACCTATACCATAATATTACTGTTAATGATATAATATTAATTATACACATCGACTTACTATCAATGTTGGTGTCACTCATTCTGAAAGCATCTGTAGGCGATTCAGTATTTGCCACTAAAAAAATATTAATTCAGTTTGACTTGTTGGACATGCTTTCGCAGTTTGAAATAGTCTTTGAAAATTATTAAAATCTTTTTATTATAGATCCAGTCTTTTTCAAATAGCGCGAAGGATCACTGTAATTGCAGATATCCTACTTATTCAGACTATACTATGGGTAATAATGTAATATTTTTTAATTAAATCGACTCACTTATATTGTCGTTGCCAACCATTTCAAAAGCAGCTGTAGGTGGTTCAGTATTTACCCCTGAAAAAATATAAATTTTGTCTGACTCGTGTGACTTGCTTTCGCAGTTTGAAATAATCTTTGATAGTTATTTAAAATGTATATTATAATTATAATCTTCAAATGTTGCAATTAGTGGTGCTTGCGTATACTCATTTAGATTATACTACTTTTTAAAATCTTCCAAAATAGCAAAGAAAAAATGTTGAGATAATTGGAGTGGAACACAAAAGAAATAAAACAAACACTTTGAGTAATAATAATGTTAGTATTATATACACTAGCTAAACCAATAATAATAGTAGTACAATGTATTATATGTATGTGTATACATAAACTGTAACAAGCATAATAGCGATATAGTAGCTGTGGAATGAGTGTACAATACTGTCCACTTACAAACGTATTTATATCTTAACTCTAGGTCAAGTCCTATATAAAACAACTTTCTAAGGTTTCACCTAAGTGACATACTAAAAAATTAGACATATTATAAAACGGGCTCAGAATATTAATTATATTTCAACAAAAAATCAACTTAAACAATACCAAAAAAACAATTACTAGAAAGGTCATAGTCATAATCGTGGGTCAGTTGAGAGAAATATAGTGAAAACATGTATTTTTGCTAATGAATTCCTAAAACTTAGATGGGTTACTACAAAAAGTCGCCTCGGTAGATTCAAAAAACTTTCTATAAAACTTCTTCGATAAATACTAATAATTTGCACAACTTATAGTTAAAAATATTCAAATAATCAATTAAAGTTATTAAACATTGTTTTATATTCTTTTTCCAGTCTTATCAAAATGGTGCATCCGGATATCCTTATTATTCAGACAGTATTTTCCCTTGGAAAAATATTAATTTAGTCTGACTTGCTTCGCATTTGAAATAATCTTTGAAAGTTATTACAAATCTCTTTATACTATACTTCCAGTCTTTTTCAAATGGTGCAAGTAGTTGTTCTTGCGGATATCTTACTTATTCAGACTATACTATTAATAATGATTTACTATTATTTTTTTAAAGCGACTTACTATTACTGTCGTTGTCGCCAAATCCGAAATCATCTGTAGGTGGTTCAGCATGTGCCCCTGGAAAAATATTAATTTAGTCTGACTTGTTTGACTCGTTTTCGCAGTTTGAAATAATCTTTGAGTTTTATTAAAAATCTATTCATATAGTACTTCTAGTCTTTTTCAAATGACACAAGTCATTATATCTTACTTATTCAGACTATACTTAAAAAAAATATATATAACCATTTTTTAAGCAAAAAAAAATTACATATATCTAGTGCACAATTTTAGTTTATCTACATTTTGTAAGCAAAAAGCTTGATTCGAAGGTAGAGAGTTGTTATAAATTACAAACAAAAATAATGATGCAAAGACAACAAAAAACATATTTTCAAATGTTTAGAGTTCAGCTAAATAATAACATTTATTAAAGTTGAGTTAAAATTAACATTTCCATTGTTTTGAATTCTAAAATATTTCTTAATATTATTATTCAGACAATTAAAATGGTTAGGTCCCAGATAATCAACAAATTTCTGGCCTATACTCTTTTTGGCATATTTAATATTTAATATTAAAATTATATTTTTAATTTTCTCGTTTGTTTAATAAGGGATCTTGCATAGAATGATTTTTTAAAATAAAAGAAACAGCATATTTTTTGTACATCAAATTAAAAGGCAAAATACCCATTTTTTTTAGAAGAGCCCACCCGATCTATTTTATTGAGACAAATACGAACAACTCTATTTTGCAAGGAGATTAAAGGGTTTAATGTGGTTTCAGAAGCACCACCCCAATAACAATACAATATTGTAAAATAGATTGAAAAAGTGACTTATTTATTTTATCTGATGAGAAATTGAACGCAGAGCTTGCCTTGATAAGATCAAAATCCCATGTATCGTCAGAAAACAATAAACAAGTGTCAACCCTGAAGGTAACTATCAGACCATCAATGTCTATATTGCATAAACTGTTAATATATAAAATGAACAAAATGGGACCAAGCTAGTGTGCTTAGTACACCACAATGAAAAATTCATTCACTACTTATATGGTCATTTATTAGGACATATTGTGATCTATTTTTTTAGGTAGCATGAAAACCAATTTAGGCTTCTATTGTCAATCCAAAACTTGGCAAAGTATTTAATAACTGCTTATAATCAACAGTATCAAAGGCCTTAGCAAAGTCCAAAAAAATAGATTTTTTGCCATTATCAAGCGAGTTATAGATGTATTTTGACACTTATACAAAGCATCAACGAATACCTAGTTTTTTTCTATTATTGATAATGATTTCGCTCTCCTCTCTCTATTATGTTTAACGTCCGTTATTCCCGCCAATCGGGGCTTGGACGGTTTATAATTTGGCATTTTTGGGCTTATAGCTGGCTACCGACCTAACGCTACCAAACAAGTTGGCCCCAAAGAGAGGAGCAGGTTGGCCGCATTTTTTCCTCCAGACAGTAGCCCGCCCGGTGGAACAAACCGCCAGATTCGAACCGGCGACCGTGAGTTGATGCACTACCGCCTTATCTCACTCCGCCACGCGTCTGCACAATGATTGCTAATGATATAATATTATTTATTTAAAGCGACTTACTATTACTGTCGTTGTCACTCATTCCGGAAGCTTTTGTTGGTGGTTCAGTATGTGCCCCTGGAAATATATAATTTAGTCAGCCTTGTTTGACTTGCTTCGCGCATTTTAAAATAATCTTTGAAACTTAAAAATTCTACTCATACTATACTTCCAGTCTTTTTCAAATGGCGTAAGTAGTTGTACTTGCGAATATCTTACTTATTCAGACTATACTATTGATAATGATTCAATATTATTTATTTAAATCGACTTACTATTACTGTCGTTGTCACTCATTTCGGAAGCTTTTGTAGGTGGTTCAGTATGTGCCCCTGGAAAATATATAATTTAGTCAGCCTTGTTTGACTTGCTTCGCGCATTTTAAAATAATCTTTGAAACTTAAAAATTCTACTCATACTATACTTCCAGTCTTTTTCAAATGGCGTAAGTAGTTGTACTTGCGAATATCTTACTTATTCAGACTATACTATTGATAATGATTCAATATTATTTATTTAAACCGACTTACTATTACTGTCGTTGTCACTCAGTTCGGAAGCTTTTGTAGGTGGTTCAGTATGTGCCCCTGGAAAAATATTAATTTAGTCTAACTCGTTTGACTTGCTTTAGCAGTTTGAAATAATCTTTTAATTTTAATAAAAATGTATTCATATTATCCTTCCAGTCTTTTTTTAAATGGTTCAAGTAGCTGTACTCGCGGATATCTTTCTTATTCAGACTTTACTATTGATTATGATGTAACTTTTTTTATTTTAAATTGACTTACTATTATAGTCGTTGCCACCCATTTGGTAACTATTCGCAGGATGTTCGTAGGGAGTGTTGGTCCCTGAAAAAATATTAATTAAGTCTGACATGTTTGACTTGCTTTAGCAGTTTCGTTTAATGTTTGAATGTATTTATTTCAGTCATCTCCAATTGGAGCAAGTAGTAGTGCTTGTGGTTAATCTAAATCCTAATCATTCAGAGTATACTATTTGCAATAATAATGTTGCGTTCTATTAATCCCGGGAAAATTTCCTGCACCGTCGCGTCGTGTTCGATCAGCTGTTGTTGCCAATGTCGATAACGACCTGGTGTGTGGTTTATTAGCGGTCTGACAGCGCAGCTGAATCTTTGCCCACGTTGTATGCGATCTATTGCAACGTTTGCAACCTTTTGTATCTTTACAACAAACGCCAGTAGGCAATTCGTATTCTTTTTTTATACTCTTTTCGATACTAATTTACTTTGGTCACTTATCGACATTATATTATATATATATATACATAACTATATTCATAATTCCTGTAGCCAACCCCGAGTATAATTACTTCCCCGATGGTACAAACAGATATAAATAATATATGTAATGTGTCTACATCAACTTACAACTATTTTGGTAAGGGTTGTTTGGCCAAGGCTGACCTATATCAACAGAAAACATGGATTATAAATAATAGTAATCTTCGAATGGCGCAAGTAGTACTGCCCACGGATAACTTAATTTTTCAGACAATACTATTGCAATGATATAATATATACATCGACTTACTATTGTTAACAAAGCCGCCAAATCCTGATCCGTAGTACGCATTAGTTGACTGTCCATTGTTTCTCACTGAAAACGATATTAATTAGGTTTGATTGATTTGACTTGCTTTTGCTGTTTGAAACATACCTGGAAAGTTACTACCTGGATAAACTCTATTTATGTAATTAACGTATTCTGGATCATTTGTTCCATGCACAGGTAATGGCGGTCCATTGTACCAACTATTTGATGGTCTATAGTTTCCCACTGAAAACATTGTTAATTAGGTCTGAGTGATTTGACTTGAGTTCGCTGTTTGATACATACTCGGAAAGTTAGGATTAATATTATTCGTATGATTATTCCAGTGTTCTCCAGATGGTCCAAGTGGTGGTTGGCCACCATTTCCGTGATTATATGAAGGCGGTACAGTGTTTGCCCCTAAAAAAATATTAATTTGTTTGATGGTTTGATGCAATCGTAGTTTGAAATAGTCTATGAATGTTTTTAAAAATCTATTTATATTATTATTCCAGTTTTCTGGCACAAGTTTTAATATCAATAAAATTACAAAATTAATGGATACATACATGGAAAGTTAGGATTAATATTATTCATATTATTATTCCAGTGTTCTCCAGATGGTCCAAGTGGTGGTGATTGCGGATTTCCTAATTATTCAGACTATACTATTAATAATCATAATTTTTTAGCGTTCGACATATTTTAAGAGGAAGGCCAAACAAGTGCATCGTGATCTGGTGTCGAACGAGCGGTAGTGAGACACACAGCCGCCTTACCCAGTCGGCCACTCTTGCTTCTCCTTGAATGATATAATATTAGTTGTATACATCGACTTACTATTAATGTTAGTTCCACCCATTCTGAAAGCATCTGTAGGGGATTCAGTATTTGCCTCTGAAAAAATATTAATTTAGTCTGACTTGTTTGACTTGCTTTCGCGGTTTAATATAATCTTTGAAAGTTATTAAAAATCCCCTTATTTTATATACTCAGTATTTTTCAAAAAACGCAAGTATTTATACTTGAGGATATCCTTCTTATTCGGACTATACTATTGTTTATGATGTAATATTTTTCATTTATATTGACTTACTATTATTGTCGTTGCCACCCATTCCGTAACTACTTGTAGGCTGTTCTGCGCTGGTGCCTGAAAAAATATAAGCGGTAATGTTTGCGAATAACTAATTATTTAGTGTATACTATTGACAATGATATAATATATGTATACATCGACTTACGACTATTGCGGGAAGGAGGATTTGGCCAAGGTTGACCTATATCAACAGATGACATGGACAGTATAATAATAGTTTAATTATTTTCTTAGCTTCACTGCGAGCTGAGTATCTCTTTAACCGGGTAACTATATTATCCATAAGTATTAGGTTTTGGTCTTTAAGATACAGATGGAATCCAAAAGGTACTTAATATGGCCAAATATGTAGCAAGTGGTAATGTTTGCGGATAACTAATTTTTTAGACTATGCTATTGGCAATGATAAAATATACACATCGACTTACTATTATTGTCGGTACCACCAACTCCAGGTCTGTTGTACCAACTATTTGATGGTCTATAGTTTCCCACTGAAAACATTATTAATTAGGTCTGAGTGATTTGACTTGAGTTCGCTGTTTGATACATACTTGGAAAGTTAGGATTAATATTATTCGTATGATTATTCCAGTATTCTCCAGATGGTCCAAGTGGTGGTTGGCCACCATTTCCGTGATTATATGAAGGCGGTACAGTGTTTGCCCCTAAAAAAATATTAATTTAGTTTGATTGGTTTGATGCAATCGTAGTTTGAAATAGTCTATGAATGTTATTAAAAATCTATTTATATTATTATTCCAGTTTTCTGGCACAAGTTTTAATATCAATAAAATTACAAAATTAATGGATACATACATGGAAAGTTAGGATTAATATTATTCATATTATTATTCCAGTGTTCTCCAGATGGTCCAAGTGGTGGTGATTGCGGGTTTCCTAATTATTCAGACTATTAGTAATCATATATATATTTATTTTTTTCAAGCATACGGCATCAATAGAGCACTATTTTAATAGGCAGGCCAAAATAAAACGATGGGTCGATTTACTATTAATGTTGGTGCCACCCATTCTGAAAGCACCTGTAGGTGGTTCAGTATTTGCCGCTGAAAACATATTAATTTTGTCGGACTTGTTTGACTTGCTTTCGCGGTTTAAAATAATCTTTGAAAGTTATTAAAAATCCCCTTATTTTATATATCCAGTATTTTTCAAAAAACGCAAGTATTTATACTTGAGAATATCCTTCTTATTCGGACTATACTATTGTTTATGATGTAATATTTTTCATTTATATTGACTTACTATTATTGTCGTTGCCACCCATTCCGTAACTATTTGTAGGCTGTTCTGCGCTGGTGCCTGAAAAAATATAAGCGGTAATGTTTGCGGATAACTAATTATTTAGTGTATACTATTGACAATGATATAATATATGTATACATCGACTTACGACTATTGCGGGAAGGAGGATTTGGCCAAGGTTGACCTATATCACCAGATGACATAGACAGTAAATAATCATATTATTATTAATAATTTAATTAATCTTAGCTTCACTGAGAGCTGAGTATCTCTTAACATACTTAGAAAGTTAGGATTATAATTATTCCAGTCTTCTCCAGATGGTCTATGTACTGGTAATGGCGGATATCCTAATTATTTAGACTATAATTTTAATACCATATAATATGAATTATATGCATCGACTTACCAATTCCGTGATAATATGAAGGTGGTTCAGCGTTTGCCCCTGAAAAAATATTAATTTAGTTTGATTTGTTTGACGTGCTATCACAGTTTGAAATAGTCTTTGAATGTCATTAAAAATCTATTTATATTATTATTCCAGTCTTCTTAAAATGGCGCAAGTTGTGATTATATACTTTGTTTATGTAAAAGAAGATCAGGTTTTAATATTATCACAAAAAAAATTTTGTTTAATAATAATAAATTGAAATGTTTGAAAAAAATTCGGCCGTCTTCCTACATAACTTATAGTAAAGTAGCAAATGAACTCGAACCTCTTTACAGAAATAAAATTAGAACACCATATGTAGTTTTAAATTAAATATAATACTTTGAAGCTTTTAAAAATTAACTGGTTAATTAATTGACATATTTGAAAGTTATTTTTTTTAATTCATATGGCAAATATTAATTTGTAAAAACATTTATGAGCTCTTAATTACTAACAAAATTAACAAAGATGAATTTTGTATTTTAAATACGAATACGAATATGTTTAGTTTTTGGTGGCCGACCCAAAATAAACTATTGTTTTATCGTAGATGAGTCTTAGAGAACGCTCACATATTATGTACTTTTTGTACCTCGTCTCTCAGCGTAAAAAAGTAATTTATTAAATTTGAAATTTAAAAACCTTACTTCTGATCCCCTTATCACCCGCAACTAAACTATTGGAAATGGTCTAATATATACATCTACTTACTACTATTTTCGGGACCAAGAACTCCAGGCTGGTAGTAAATATTAATATGTAGTAGACCGGGTGCCCCTGAAAAAATTATTAATTTAGACTAACGTATAAGACTTGATTTCACAGTTTAAATAAACCGTTTTATATTTTTATTCCAGTCTATTCGTAATGGTGCATGTAGTGGTGCTTGCGGATATCCTAATTAAATAATTAGGATATCAAATAGACATATCTAAATAGACATTAATATTGTGTATGATATAATATATACATCAACTAATTACTATTATTGCCACGAAAATCAAATTTATAAATATTAATTCAATCAACTTGTTTGACTTGATTTTACTTTTTAAATAATTTATATAAGTTATTAAAAATCTATTTATTTTATTATTATTCCAGTCTTCTCCTTATGGTGCCAGTAATGGTTCTTGTGGATAACCTAATTATTCCGATTTTTCTATTGATAATGATATAATATAAACATTGACTTACTATTATTGCCGGTGCCAAAAACTACAGATACGTAGTAAATATTAATATGCGGTGCGCGGTCTCTACCTGACAAAAATATTGATTAATTCTAACTTGTTATACTTGATTTCAAGTTTAAACAATGTACAAGTTATTAAAAATCTATTTATATTATTATTCCAGTCTTCTCTTTATGGTGCAAGTAGTGGTTCTTGCGGATATCCTAATTATTCAGACATTACTATTGGGTATGATATAATATATACATCGGCTTACTATTTTCGCCACGCAAATCAAATTCGAAAATGTTTTCCTCAACTCCGTAAGTATTCGTAGGTGATTCAGTTTTTGCCCCTGAAAAAATATTAATATTCTATGACTTGTTGGTTTGTTTTCACATTTTTAAGTAAGTTTGAAAATTTATTAAAAACATTATTTATTCTATTATTCCAGTCTTTTCTAAATGGCGCAGGTGGTAATGTTTGCGGATAACCTAATCATTCAGACTGCACAATTGATATTGATATAATATGTAAATTGACTTACTATTATTATTGATAGGGTTTTCGTATTGGCTAACTTGGCTTTCACCAGCGATGTAAAAATCGAAAGTCGGTGGTCCCCCTGAAAATAATATTAATTTAGTTTAAAATGTTTAACTTACATTAGCTGTCTTAGAAACAAATATTAAGACATTTTTTGAAAAATATGCTTTTTACACTGCTATGGGAAATATAGTTCCTAATGAAACTAGTCAGGTTGAAAACAAGTTTTGAGTATGGACCAGTCAACATTTTCAGCAAAATAGTCTTAAATTAAATAACTGTATGTTTTACGCATTGGTCAATGTTTTAAATGTTTGTATAGCATTAAAATGGGAACTTCAGGTGTTACATGAAACTTTAATAACACTGTTAACAAAGGTGGGCAAAATTAATTACAAAATGATTACCTCATCCATTTTAAAATGGTTGATTAATTTCACGAAATAATGTTTTTAAGAAAAATTGGATTTAAACAAATGAAACCCCCAGGCGCGTCAACAAAGATGTTCAAAAACTTCAATCTTATACATCATGTTTAAAGTAAAAAAAAAATTTAAACATCGAATCTATATCTCGAAACATTTATTAGTCTAAATACTTAATTAAATGATTAATTTTGATCTGTTTTTAACAAGTATTTCCTTGTTTCTGGATTGACAGAATAGTTGTTTTCCATTAATCCGACATATTGGAATAATGGATTATTTTTAATGCAGTATTAATTTTATTGATTAAAAAACAATTCAGTAAACCGGGATAAATAATCTTGTACATCTCTGTCTGTATTGTCACCTACTGTAAGTTGTATTGATTAAGACGTGATATTAATGTCGTTTTAATAAAATCATAATATGGCATTCTAAAATTTTAAAAGTTAATTAACAAATTTCCGACCTATTTTCCCTAACATTTGCCTTGAACACGGCAATAATTTCTATTAGTTGAATATTATTATACGTTAATAAACAAATCCAAAGTTATTATAATCATAAAAATCGGAAACCATTCAACCCTCACACATTTTTTTTAAGTTTCATGCTCAAAAACTGTAGTATAAAACAAATAGATTATTCACAATTTTTACTATTTTTTTAACGGAAACCAAGTTGAGATTTTTGACATAGCTTTTTTTTTTGTTAAACTATTATAGCGACTACTGTTTTTTTTATAAATGCCAATAATTATTTGATATTACATTGGAACGATTTAATAGAACAATTACTAATATACCTATATTGTATTGTACCATAATGTATCAAATAGTTATTTGCTATAACTATTGTAACATCAGGGTTCAATCGTGCAAAAAAAATGTTCAAACATTTGAATACACAAACGGCAAAACAAAATATGTTAAAAAAACACTTGTTTTTCGATATACAACAATCCATAACAATTCGTATGGTAATGTTTGTGAATTTGCAATGAATGTTTCTCAAAAATAAAGTTTAAAAGTTAAAAAAATTACAAATTTTTTTTAAATACAAGACAGTGAAATGTTTGAATAAAAATCGTCTTCCTTCATAACATATAGTAAAGTAGCCAATGACTCGAATCTCATTACAGAAATAAATTTGGACCATCCTATGTAGTCGACATTTTGTCTGGCATTTGTTCTAAAAAAAAACCAAAATGGCTTTTACTCAAAGAAAATTTGTTTTAAATTAAAAATAATACTTTGAAGCATTTACAAATTAATTGGTAAATTTATTGACATGGTTATTAAAACCTCTTTTAACTTAAATATTGTCAATACAAATCCCTTAAAAACAATCCACATGCAGTCCCCTTGAAATTAACCAGTTATTATGGACAATTTGTTTTCGTTTACAAAACCATAATTAAAGTAAACAAAAATATCTGTGTTGATAATATAATGTAAAAAACGTATTGACGATGAGTCATAGATAATGCTTATATATTATGTAACTATTATGTAGCCCGTGTCTCAGCGTGGAAAAATATTTTATTAAATTTTAAATTTAATAAAATATACTGTATAAATCGACTTACTATTATTCGCGGGGCCATCAACTCCACATGGGCAGTAAATATTAATATGCGGTGGACGGTTTTCCCCTGAAAAGATTATAATTTAGTCTAACGTGTTAGACTTAATAGTTGATTTCACAGTTAAAATAATCTATATGTTATTAAAAATCGATTTATATTATTATTTCAGTATTTTTATTTCATTTTATTATTTCAGTTTTTTTTTCTTTCCCCTGTGGGTGGGGCCAGAATACACCCACGGCAGTCCACGCCCGTCGTAAAAGGCGACTAAAATGGACCTAGCAATGGGCAGCAACATTGTTAGTATCAAGTATAGATATATCTATACTTGAATAACATCCCTTAGTAATAAGAGATGCCATTGCGATGCAGAAGGCAGCGGGAAACCACTGCATTAATTTACCCAAACATCAAGCAATGAAGATTAAACATAAGAATGAGGAGAATCAGATTTGCAACGACAAGGCAAGGCCTTTAGTAGAGAAGAAGAAGTATTTTTCTAATTATTCAGATATCGACTTACTATTAGTAACTCCAGGCTTGTAGTAAATATTAATACGCGGTAGACTGTCTCTCCCTGGAAAAAATATTATTTTAGTCTAACTTGTTGTACTTGATTTCACAGTTAAAAAATGTATATAAATTATTAACAATGTGTGTATAATATTATTCTAGTCTTCTCCTAACGGTGCAAGTAGTGGTGCTTGTGAATCTCTAATTATCCAGACTTTACTATTAAGAATAATATATATACATCGACTTACTCTTATTGCTACGCAAATCAAATTCAAAAATGTTTTCCTCAACTCCGTAAATTTTCTTAGGTGATTTAGAGTTTGCCGCTGAAAAAATATTAATTTACTCTGACTTGTTGATTTGCTTTCATATTTTAAAAAACACTTGAAATGTATTAAAAACATTATTAATACTATTATTCCAGTCTTTTCTAAATGGCGTGGCTGGTAATGTCTACGGATAACCTAATCATTCAGACTGCACTATTGTTAATGATATGATATGTAAGTTGACTTACCACTATTACTGTCAGGGCCATTGGTTAAGGAAACATGGTGATTACGATCGATTTCAATAATAATATAGTTTATCCCTGAAAACAATGTTAATTTAGTCTCAAATGTTTGAGCTTTCCCTGTTTTAGAAACAACATTTTAAGACTTTTTTTAAGAAATAATGCTTTTTAAAAATAGTTGAATTTGTTCCTAACTTCTGTGTGATATTTATTAAACATAACACTACCATGATAAATCTTGTTCTTAGGAGAAGCCTTTGTTGGCGTTATTTAATTTTTAAATTGAATTACTTTATTTACATGTACAAAGTTTAAAATTAGGTAGAACGCGTCATAACTTATATATTACCTTGGTAAAACCCCATCGTAGCTGAAAACAGAATAATACTAAATAGTAAGATTTTCATGATTATAATTTAGGACCTATTTAGTACAACGGCAAATACTTAATTGAAAATTAAATTGAATGATAAGTAATATAACTTGTAAGAACCACAATAAACTGAATTCTATAGCTTCAAATTAAGAAGTACCATATTTTCTTGGTGGCACGTCCGAGCTGAAGTAAATAAATGTAAGAATATTTTGTACGTATACAACTGTATAAATATTAGATATCGCAAGTATTCGCTATATTGTTTTAATAACATATTGTCTGACTAACTGAGAATATAAAATTGATTATTTGTTTTATATTATGTAAAATTATGGCCTATATTGTTGTAATTCTATGCACCATTATTTTTTTTTTTTTATTGAGTTAAGGCTTCGACTGCTAGGTTATTAGCCTGTAGTTTACATTTAAATGTTTGTAATACAGTATTGTATTTTAAAGTTTATTGCATAGGTTTATTAATTTGATATAGTACCATAAATTACTCAAATATGTACTATCAAAATGTGTAGGCAAGACATGTATCTCACCACTTGAAAAATTAATTTTAATTTTTTTATTTTATGCGATGTTTTTTTCTATATTATGCTTGTACAGCTATTGATTAAATACAAATCAATTTAATCAGTTTATGTACTAAGCTATAACAACTATAGTAGGAGGCAAATGGTTTATATCTATGCAGTTTTTGGGTAGAGAAGGGGGCTAAATATATTTTTATTAGGGCTATAAAATATTCATTACAATATAAATCTGACTAAAGTAGTAATCACTAGAGTAAGGTTGAGATGGCCAGTAAGTTAGAGATTCCTTAAATATGTATTTGTATTTAATATGTATGCAGGACAGATATCTCACCAAAACTGATCTAAAATACAGTGTGCACCTAATTAATATTTCCCGAAATTTTTAATTTTTGCAATTTAGTTTCTTTCTGTCTCTGTTTAGCTAAATTTAGAATTTTTCTCAGAAATAATATACTTTTTTACAATGTAAGGAAAATATAAAAATTCTGATTACAGTTTAATCTTATACGTTTTAAGTATTGTGTATACAATTTATACATATTAAATGTTATTGATTTGTGATGCATGCTAAGAAATCA